TCCTGCGGGTGCTGCTGGGCCTGTGATGGCGGTCCCGCTGACTGCGTGGCGGTGCCTGCCTGGATTTTTGCCTGTGGCAGGTAGTGGGGCTGCTGCTGCACCTGAGGCCAGGTGAAGCAGCCAGCCCCTGACCCTCGCCTTCTCCTTCCAGCGGGCTGCATCCTGGTGTTGAGCAGGAACTTCGTGCAGCACGCCTGCTTCGGGCTCTTCGGCATCATCGCGCTGCAGGTAAACGGGGCGGAAGGGTGGGGCCTCGCCCAGGAACCATGGCTGCCGGTAACCGGGTGGGGCCTTGCCTTCTTGCTCAGGTTGGAGCAGAGCCTCTCGAAAGGCCTTTCGAGGAGTCGCCCTGGAACTCCTTCCCGAGAAGGGGCTCAGTTTTCCTCAAGGCAAATGCAGGAGAAGCAGACAGCCATCTGGGCTGGCCCTTGCCTGGGTTTGCCTTGACCAGGGTGGAAGCCACCAGGCTGGCTGCCGCCAGGACCCCATTCTTCTCATTTCCTTCATTAAGGCTGCCGAGCTCCTCGGGTGCGGTCCTCAACACCCACCTGTGCTCTGGGTCCGTGGTCTCAGGCCTGCCCTGTTCTCCGGGGCACTGAGCCGAGGTTGGCCTCGGAGCTGTCCTGGAGTCCTGCAGCGGTTTTGTGTATCTGAGGTTTAAAAACTGGCCTCATGCTCTCCATTTGGTAGAAAAGCAGGTGCTTGGAAATGCTGACCCTCACCTTTTCTCTGCCCTCTGTCCCCTCAGACGATCGCCTACAGCATTTTATGGGACTTGAAGTTTTTGATGAGGTACGTGTGTCTGGTTGGAGGGTCACCCTACCTCCTCCCATCTGACCTCGGTGCTGTAACTATCCATTGAGTCAACCTCTGGGGTCAAGACTGTGCTCCTTAGGCCCTGTGGTGGATGTTGGCAGAGCCTTCACCCCCACCCAGGCCCTCAGGACACTGAGCACAGGTGCCTCTCCTGACCCGGCTTTCACGAGGGAGAGGAGGGTCCCCGTGGAACCGCTGCCCACAGAAGCCAGCTGCTCGGCAGCCAAGGTTCCAGGCGTGCTCTGGCGACGGCCGCTGGCTCGTGCACAGACACGGATGTGTCTTCAGGCCGAGTCCTGCTTGGTCTGCAGAGAGGGGGCAGGGCTGAGGTCTCCCGGCTGGTCTGGCGGCCCTCGGCCTGGGCCTGAGCGCTGCCTGGCGTCTCCCTCAGGAACCTGGCCCTGGGCGGGGGCTTGCTGCTGCTCCTGGCGGAGTCCCGCTCGGAGGGGAAGAGCATGTTCGCGGGCGTCCCCACCATGCGCGAGAGCTCCCCCAAGCAGTACATGCAGCTGGGAGGCCGGGTCCTGCTGGTGCTGATGTTCATGACCCTCCTTCACTTCGACGCCAGCTTCTTCTCCGTGAGTCCTACTCGCCTCACCCCTGCCCCTGCCCCTGCCCCTGCCCTGCCCCTGCCCTGGTGTGGATGAAGCAGAGCCCAAGGCCACGAAGGCCAAGGCTTTTGATCCTATTAAAGAACAAACTGTCAGGTTATGTGCCCAGAACCTGCCTCCGAACAAATGAAGTCCAGCCTCATGGACCTCGCTGGAGGGTCCTGGTGCTAGTCCTCCCAGACTCGCTCCTTCCTCACCTTTATCTCATGACCGTTGTGAGCCGGGTGTTGGGCGTGCAGAGTTGAAGAAGGTTCTGGCTTTGTCCCCCTGGAGTTTACAGAGCAGGTCTTTGTTACCGAGTGTGCGCCTTGCCTGGCGAGGTTCCCAGGAATGCCCGGCCGTCCCGGCGTGGAGGCCCCTGGGCTCCAGCTTGAGCGGCTTGGGAGACCTCGGCCTGCGCTGAGCGCTGCCTCATCTGCCCCAGCCCCCTTCTCATCCCACCGTCACAGCCCCACCTGTCACCATCCCACCGTCACAGCCCCACAGTCACAGCCCCACCTGTCACCATCCCACCGTCACAGCCCCACCTGTCACCATCCCACAGTCACAGTCCCACCATCACAGCCCCACCTGTCACCATCCCACCGTCACAGCCCCACCTGTCACAGCCCCACCTGTCACCATCCCACCGTCACAGCCCCACCTGTCACCATCCCACCGTCACAGCCCCACCTGTCACCATCCCACAGTCACAGTCCCACAGTCACAGCCCCACCTGTCACAGTCCCACCTGTCACCATCCCACCGTCACAGCCCCACCTGTCACAGTCCCACCTGTCACCATCCCACCGTCACAGCCCCACCTGTCACCATCCCACAGTCACAGCCCCACCTGTCACCATCCCACAGTCACAGTCCCACCTGTCACCATCCACCGTCACAGTCCCACCTGTCACCATCCACCGTCACAGCCCCACCTGTCACCATCCACCGTCACAGTCCCACCTGTCACCATCCACCGTCACAGTCCCACCTGTCACCATCCACTGTCGCAGCCCCACCTGTCACCATCCCACCATCACAGCCCCACCTGTCACCATCCCACAGTCACAGCCCCATCTGTCACCATCCCACAGTCACAGCCCCACCTGTCACCATCCACCATCACAGCCCCACCTGTCACCATCCCACTGTCACAGCCCGACCATTAGCGGCCTCCGCACACCCCAGTCCCTTCGCCCCAGCACCTGACCATCCCTTCTTCCTCCCATTTGAGTCTCTTACTGTCCCCTCTGCAGATCCTCCAGAACATCGTGGGCACAGCGCTGATGATTCTAGTGGCCATTGGCTTTAAGACCAAGCTGGCCGCCTTGACTCTTGTGGTCTGGCTGTTCGCCATCAACGTGTATTTCAACGCCTTCTGGACCATCCCCGTCTACAAGCCCATGCACGACTTCCTCAAGTACGACTTCTTCCAGACCATGTCGGTGATCGGCGGCTTGCTGCTGGTGGTGGCTCTGGGCCCCGGGGGCGTCTCCATGGACGAGAAGAAGAAAGAGTGGTAACACCTTCCCTGCCTGCCTAAGCCGTGGCCGGCGAGGACTGGTTCGGGGTCGATCGACAAACTGCCGCATTCTCGTCCCCTCCCCCCTGCCTGGGTGAGGCACAGATGTGAGACCTCTGCAGCCCTGAGAGCGACGGCTGTCTCTGCTCTGCACCCACCTGCTGCCTGACCAGCCAGCGGCCGCCTGGCTCCTCCCTCCCCACGGCCAGGCCTTGGCCGCGCGGCGAGAGCAGCCGGGGGGGTTGCGGCCTCTGTCCCGGTTTTGTTCGTGGGTGGTGGGGGCCTTCACGCTGTACTCTGAGCAGATACATCTGTGTATCATCCAAAGCAGTCTCCCTCTTATTTTTTTTTAAAGTTTACGTTTTTAGCTAAAACTAAGTGATTGTGGGTGGCCTGCACATCAGAGCACTGCCGCTCCGTGGCACCAGGGCGCTGCCTTGCAGTGTCACACTTGCAGGGACAGTGAGATATTAGAGGAACAACCCCCAGAGAGCGAGGCAGCGTTAGAGGCCCTGTTCACGGTGAGTCACTGCTGAGTCAGGACACCAGCCCACCCGGTGCAGTTTATATGGGGTCATCCCCGGGAGCTTCCGTGGCTCAGTGGGGATGGATATCAGAAGCCCTCGCACCCACCCACCCACGCCCACCCGCATCTGCAGGTTGCCTGCGGCCCGGGGAGGAGCAGACGCCAGCTCGCAGACCAGTTACCTCACACTCACAACCTTCCGCAGCCTCGCTGAACTGGGCCGCGCCCTGGACGCTGCCTGGGTCTTCCCTGGCTGAGGGATGACCCCGGGCTGCACGGCCACGGCTTCCGTCTCCCGGGGCTGCTGCTTGCTCAGACGTCTGTTTGCTATGCTGCACACGGCCCAGATTACTTTTTACTGATTTGTGATGCCTTACCGATTGGATCTGACTCCTGTATTTAAAGTTTTCTAACATTGCCTTACACTGTGTTTCTCTTCTTGGGGGTGAGCGCTTCCTGCTGTCCTCCGCCAGGCCCCATCCCAGCGAAGGCACCGGGGGAGTTGGGACACGTGTCTCTGTGCCTCCCGCTGTCCTCCCCCCAGATCCTTCGGGGACAGACCGACTTGGCCCGGCCCCCTGAGAGCCTGGCCTCGGGGCTTGGCTCCCTGGTCTTCAGCGAGGTGCGCGGGCCTGAGGGCCAGCCCTGAGCCAGGTGAGGGGAGCCCTGTGCCCGCAGGCTTTGTGGGGAGGAGGCTGCCTCTTGCCCCTCAGGCTCTGCAGCCTGGACCCACCTGACCAAGGGGGTGATGGCCAACCATCTCACCGCCCCCAGGGCCCAGCCAGAGCGGAGGCTCGTCCTGGTGTTAGACAAAGCCAGGCCAAAGGGCGTGTCAATTCCCGTCACTTGGATGCTCACGACATGGAGGCGTTTCTTCACTTTCTGATTCAGCCTGGGCCACGTGGTCTCTTGGTCCACATTCCCTCCCCCTTAACACATCCTGACAGCCCCCTTGAGTGACAGCCCCATCGAGTGGCACCCTCAGCCAAGCTGCGTCTAGTAGGGCACCTCCCTGACTGCTGAGACCTTTGTTGTGTCGGCCGCCTGTGATGCGGTGGCCACTCCCGTCCCCACCTCCCCGCCCAGAGCAGGCTAGCGCCTGGGCCCTGTAGACCCCTGCCTTTGCGGGAGGAGCGAAAAATAATCTACCAATTGGTTTTGGCAAAACGATTTCTGACAATTTTTTGCGTTATGTGGGAAATAGGTATCGATCTCACTTTATGCTGTATTTTATATCTTAGTTGTGTTTGGAAACGTTTTGATTTTGGAAACATCAAAATAAATGATGGCATTTGTTGTACAGTGTGACCCTCGGTGCCGTCCAGGTGGGTGGGCCGAGCCAGGCTCTCAGGTGCCACATGAGGACCACTCAGCCATGTCCACACAGGGCTCTCCCCCAGGGCCCCGGGGGGACGGCCCCAACCCTGCTCCTGGGGCAGCCAGAGGAGTGGATGGAGAAACCCCAGGACGCCCCACCGGCTGGGAGGACATGGGGCAGCTGGGGGGGACGCGGGGTGCAAACCCCAAGGACTCAGGCTGCACAGTCTCCAGGAAACGTTTATTAACCCGCCTGCTGGGAAGAGCTGATGCGCTTCTGCTTGCGGTGACGGCTTTTGAACTTCTTGGATGAGCCCGACTGCTTCTGTGGCGGGGACAGAGTTCCAGTGAGGGCCCAGGTGAGCGGGTGTCAGTCAGCCTGCCCCACCTACAGGCGAGGTTTCAGCTGGAAACCCCTAGGTCCGCTCTCCGCCCAGTTTCCCTCACAGCTGCCAGCTCATCCAAGGCAGCGCTGTGAACCCCCAAACGCACAGACCTTGACCTCTTCTAGCCCCTTGACCTCCTCTAGCCCCTCCCCTTCCACACAGGCTCAGGGTGGTGTCTATTGGGCCCTCTCTCGGCTCCTGTGCTGCACTCAGGCACCTGTCCAGGCAGCCAGGCTCCCGCAGGTGCAGACCTAAAGCTCCCCGCCCCGTCAGAGCGGCCCTGGCTCCTCGCTTGCATGTGCCATGAGCTTGGGGTATTACCTGCAGAGAGTGGTCTTATTTTTCTAGGGAAATGGAAACCTCGCTAAGGACACTGCTGCCCTGTTAGCAGCCTGGAGGCACCGCTCACCTTCCTGCGCTTGAGGGCCGGCTCCTGGGCCCCTCCCCTCCCCTCTCCGTCCCCAGTGCCCTCTGCTCTCAGGTGCCTTGGCCTCTCGTCTTCATCGGTCAGAAAGTCATCAGCGCTGTCCCTGTGCTCGGCCCCTGCCAGGTCCTTTTTGGTGAACAGCTCGGCTGGAAGGAAGAGGGATCTACGTTAAGGTCACCACCTGCATAGGGCTAAGGGGCACGTGGAGAAGGGAGCGGGCCAGAGCCACCTGCTGCTGGAAATGGACAGGACAGCCAGGGGGAGTACGAGGGAGAGGGGGGAGGGGGAGGGACGGGGGGCAGGGAGCACGGTCCTGCTTACGCGGATACAGGTCTGCCATACTGTCGTCACTGTCACTCGGGGCCGTGCCGTCACCATCGCTGGACTCGGGCTCCCAGAAGGCTGGTCTCCGGCGGGGTGGCCTGTCACTGTCCATCTGGTCTTCCCTCCTCCTCCTCTTGTGCAAGAGGCAGGCGGGCACATACTCCACGCCCTGCTTCTGACACTCTGCATCTGCAGACAGGCCAGCACAGAGCATGGCTCTCTCCTCGCCTCCCATCCTCTGAGCCCGGTGCCTCACCCACTAGGCACACATCAGCGGTGGCAGAGAAAGGCCACCAGCTCAGTTCCTACCAGGACAGGAAAGGCCAGCAGAGGTGTGGCCAACAGACAAGATGGTACCGATCTGCCGGTCGTGAGCACCCGCCTCTGGCCGGGCCTGCCAGGTTGCAGGAGCTCCAGGGCACCTGACCTGGAAACCATGCCAGCCTGTCACCAGGAGGCAAGCCCTCTGCAGGCATGGTGGCTCAGTGGAATCAGCGCCCCCTGTTGACCTTTGGCCAGAGCAAGGGGCAGGAACGAGGCTGGAGTCACTGTTCTCCCTGCACTGAGGACTCACAGGCCCTCCATCAGCACAGGCCTCCCCAGGGCAGTGCAGCCCCCCGGGGGGTTGGTGGTGACAGGAGCTCAGCCCTCCTCCCCCCGCCTTCGGCTGCGGCCCCTACCCCGCTCCAGCCTGGCTGTCCCTGCCTCGCCACCCAGCTGCCTGGTCTCACCTTTCTCTCATCTCCCCTTGGCTGACATCTAATAAGAGTCCACCCGTTCCTCTCTGCCCCAGACACCTGGTTCCTCCTCACCTTCCTAGGGCTCCTTGGTACCCAGGCCCCACCCTGTCCCCACCCTGTCCCTTCTCAACGGGCGGGCTCCGTGGATGTGGATGCAAATCCCACGTCTGTGTCAGTGATTTGCATCTCCTGAGTGCTGGTCCCCGCCACACCTCCCACTTAAAGTGCTCCAGTTTCACTTTCAATTCCCCCCAAAGCCTATTCAGACCCCACTCTCCAAACTTCACCTACCGCTTCGGTTCTCAGGTTCGGTTCTCAAGTCGGGACGTGGGAGCTTGGGAATCGGTTTATTCCTGCCCCTCACTCCTCATCTAGCAACCCATCCCCAAGTTAAAACCCGTCCACGGCGTTCCATCCTCCCTGCCCACACCTGGTGACCCAAGGGGAACCCCGCCACCTCTCCATTCCCCTGGATGACTGCAGGGGTCACGCCAGTCCCTGCTTTAACCCTTTCAGTGCATCCGGCTGCCCGTGCTCCTCCACGGCCTCCAAGACCCTCTGTGCTCTCGCCCCTACCCGCCCCCCCCCTCACCCTACAGTGCGTGACGGCACCAGGAAGGCAGGTCCTCAGGGCCTCCCACGCCAGCCTTGGACCTGGCCCAGATCCTGTTCTCTTCCCGCTCCGCATGCCCCTCAGTCTCGGCCTCCTGAGTCAGGCCGGCCCTCCCGGCTGCCAGCACCCTCCCTCCCTCAGCACTCAGCACCGCCTGCCGTCACTGCGGCAGGTCCGCCAACAACGTCGCTTCACTGTAACATGGATGAGATGCCGCAGGAACTTAACTCTAGTTTAGATCCATCGAACCTGCTGAGGACGATGAGTAGGACGCACTGTTCTGGGAGGCGGCTTCCAGCTTTGCACCCCTCTTCAGGGCGCGGGGCAATCCACCGGGCACTGCCACCCAATGGCCCACCCCTGTGGTCGGCAAACCGGCTCGGAAGCCACATGCGGCTCTTTGGCCCCTTGAGTGTGGCTCTTCCTAAGCCTCAGGAGTGCCCTAATGAAGTTCATAACAATGTACCTACCTATATAGTTTCAGTTTAAGAAGTCTGGCTCTCAAAAGAAATTTCAATCGTCGTACTGTGGATATTTGGCTCTGCTGACGAATGAGTTTGCCGACCACTGGCCCAAACCACTTCTGCCCTCGAGGGGTGCTCATCCCGGGGAGGGCGGGCATGCCCCCAGGCCGTGACCCGGGCAGCTGTGTCACACACACACACACACACACACACACACTTACATTTACACAGGGCTCTCCGGTAGCGCCGGCCCTGCGTGTGCCGCAGCACGTGCTCCGGGGCCTTGTTGATGTGCCGCAGGGTGAGCTTGCAGAACAGCTGGTGCCTACGGGGCAGAGGGAGCTGTTTGCAGGAACAGTTCTCCAGCAAGGAGTCAGACCTGCTCTCCAGCCTCTGTCACCCCAGAGGCTGCCTGGGGAGGGGGCGTCCAGGGTGTGGTCTGGGTATCCCGGGCCTTACAAGCTCCTGAGAGGTCCAACCCCCGGGCGGAGAGCCGCGGTCCACACGGACCTGGCCTCGCCTTTGCTTGGCGTGTGGCCTGGCCAGCCCCCCCGATTGCTCTGCTGTGAGAATGCACGCGGAGGACTCAGCGTTCAAGTTCATGAACGAGTGCCCACCAGGCCATCGCCGCTTCCTCCTCACTATCTGTCAACCACGCGCCCTCGGCTAAGTCAAAGTTCTCCTTTAAAGCACAAATGTGAGCCTGGCCTCGGCCAGAACCTCAGGGACCAAGTCCCAGCGCTCGCCGTCTCCTAGGAAGCAGACAGGCCCGGGTTTACACAAAAGCAAGCGAGCTCAGCCGGGGCGGGCCTCGCCTGGACTCGCAGGTGACTCCCAGCTCCCGGCTCCCGGCTCCCGGCTCCCGGCTCCCAGGCAGGTGGAGTCTCCCGCCCAGCAGCGGCCGGAGACCGGCCGAACGGTCCCACCCAGTCCCGGCCGCCCCGGCCACGCACGGGTTCTTGGTGCTGGGCACGATGTGCGGCTCCAACTCCGCGTAGTCGAAGGCAGGGGAGGCGCGGGCCAGGCGCCGGTACTTCCTGCCGCGGGTGTAGACCTGGAGCTCGGGCAGGCGGCAGGGCAGCTCGTGGCCCGTCAGAGCGCACTTCACCTGCGGCGGAGGCGGGCGGTGAGGGGGTCCCTGGGCAGTCGGGGGGCGGGGCATTGAGGGGGTCCCTGGGCAGTCGGGGGGCGGGCGGTGAAAGGGTCCCGGGGGCAGGCAGGGAGGCGGGGGAGTCAGGGGGTCCCGGGACAGCCGGGGGCGGGCGGTGAAGGGGTCCCGGGGGCAGGCAGGGAGGCGGGGGAGTCAGGGGGTCCCGGGGCAGTCGGCTCGGCCGCGCACCTTGCGGGCGCCGGGCTGCAGCCGCAGGCTGGGGTGCTCGCGCAGGAAGGCGCGCACCTCGGGCGGCGGCTCGCTCATGGCTGAGCAGCCGAGGGGCCTGGAAGCCCGGCGTCGCTCAGACCACGTGGGCCGGGGGCGGGGCTTGGCGGTGCCCCGGAAGCAAACGCGGCCCGACCCCGGAAGGGCCCGCGGGGCGATGGCGGCGGCGCGGTTGCTGGGGCAGGTGCTGCGCGCAGCGGGCGCGGGGCCGGTGAGCGGGCGGAGAGGCGGCGGCAAGCGGCCGGGGAGGCGGGGGGGGGGGCGCCCCGGGCCGGCGGCTCAGCCAGCCCCTCGCGTCTCCGCAGGCCCCGGCCCTCGCCGTCTGGAGGAGCGTCCTCGCGGTCTCCTCGCGCGCAGGTGAGGACGCGCCCAGGTGCGCCCTGGGAAGCGCCCCCCGCGCTGCTCGGGGCGGGACTGGGGGCGCGGGGATGAGCTCCGATCGCGTGTCAGACTCCGTGCCTGCTGCCGGAGCCTGGCTGCGTGCGGGGCGGCCGGAGACGTCAACCAACCGCCGTCTCGGCCTCAGGAGGGAGGGCCAACCCGGGTTTGCAACCAGGTGCCTGGGACCCTGAAGGGAAGCTCGTCTGCTCAGCAGTCTGCGTGCTGCCCCTGGACGGCAGGCGGCGTGACCGCGCGCGCAGGGCTGTGCGCCCAGGAGGGTGCTGCCCACGCTCCCGCCCAGGCCCGCCTTGCTACCCCCCAGGGGCCCCTCCGCGAGCTTAAATGCACCTTCTGTGTATATTGTTCCGTGTCTGCATTTTTGAGCAATGAGAACGCAGAGCTGGCCCTGCGCGCAGCTCGGGCGGTTAGGGCATCCTCTGGGTACGCCAAGACGGAGGGTTCGATCCCTGGTCGGTACATACAAAAGTCAGCCAGCGAATGCGTGCGCAAGTGAAACATCGGATTGATGGTTCTCCCTCTTCCTCCCTTAAATCAGCAAGTAATTTTTTTTTTTTTTAATCTCTCCCTCCCGGAAGCACGCCTGAGCCTAGGCAACCCAGCTGGCTCACTTCTACCTCTGTAACCTTGTAAATAAATTTTGTCTTTTAACTGCTTTATTAAAAATAAAGAAAAGGCAGAGCAGTTGGAAGAGCTCTGTGAAGCACTGTCCCGAGCCTATCACATTTCGTCTCTTCAGACCACAGTAGCCTGTGCGGGTGCATGTCAGCGCAGTGGTGTATACGTCACAGCATCCTCCCGAGGCGGGAGGTGGTGCCACGAATTACCCGGGTCATGGTCGGTGGCAGAGCCACGACTGAGCCCTGGGTCTCGTTCAGTCAGTAAACATCCACTGAGTGCCACGTGCCGGGCACTGGGCTGGGAGCTGGGCTGGACGCAGGTGCTGCGAGCTGGCTCCTGGCTGCAGGTTGTGGGCCCGCCCCTCCTGTACCCGTGCTCCTCCGGGGCTTGCGACCCCAGGCCAGTGTGACACTCCCTAGGTCTGGCCTGGAGGCCCAGCAGGTGCCGCAGCTCCGCAGCAGAAGCACCTGCCACAAAAGCAGAGGACGACTCCTTTCTCCAGTGGTTCCTGCTTCTCATTCCGGTGACTGCCTTTGGCCTGGGGACATGGCAGGTAGGACTGGCTCTAGCTCTTGTGGCTCCGAGCCCTTGGCCCACTGCCGTCTGCTTGGGCTTATGCTGTTTCCGTAGGTCCAGCGTCGCAAGTGGAAGCTGAAGCTGATCTCGGAGCTGGAGTCTAGAATTATGGCTGAGCCTGTCCCTCTGCCCGCAGAGTGAGTGCGGGGCTGTGGCCTGGGGCTTCTCGCACTGCTCAGCAGTGGAGCTGCTTGGGGTCCGGGCCCTCAGATGGGTGCCCTCAGGATGGGTGGTCCTGCTGGGCTTCTTGCTGACATGGTCGCCCTTGGGAAGCTGCCTGAATTATAGAAAAACCTGTGCTGATGGCCCCCTAAAGCAGTAACGCTTAGCTGGAGGGCGAGAGCAGGCATTGTCACGTCTTCCTGGTATTTTGAAAGTGCTCCAGATGATGCGACTGCCCTAGAGGAACGGCTGTATTCAACAAAGCCTCCATTTAGGGGCGCAAACCGGTGCTCGAAGGGGGTTTTAGCCACACTGATCAAGTCCATGCAGGAGTCCCCCTCTGGCTTCTCATGAAAACGTGGACTGTGGGGCAGCAGAGCCGTTGCCACGCGACACCCGAGGGGTCAGCTTCCCTGGACTGTGGGGCAGCAGAGCCGTTCCCACGCGACACCCGAGGGGTCAGCTTCCCTGTAGCAGGCACTTCCATCGCCCCGTCACCTCGGGCTGTGGTGGGCTTTGTCGTTTGCAGCCCTGAGGGTTTCTCTTCCTCACAAACTGGCTTCAGCTGCACTTGTCCCCTCCCGTGCAGCCCCATGGAGCTGAGAAACCTGGAGTACAGGCCGGTGAAGGTCAGGGGGTACTTTGACCACTCCAAGGAGCTGTACATGATGCCCCGGACCATGGTGGACCCGGAGCGGGAGGCCCGGGAGGCGGGCCGGCTCTCCTCCTCGGCCCAGAGCGGTGCCCATGTCATCACCCCTTTCCGCTGCACCGACCTGGGGTGAGTGACTCGCAGGGAGCCTGGCAGATGTATGTGGTCAGGGCAGCTCATCTTCCCTTCCCAACCCCCAACCCAGGGGAACTAGAAGGTTTGATTCCGTCAAGAGTTTGAATCTGTAGCCCGGACATGAAGCTGATTCATTTAGCTTATATCACTGCACAAGTCCTGTCCGCTCTGAGAGGGAAGCGAGAACTGTCTGTCCAGTGGCCACCTCGTTAAATGATGGCGCAGCATGAAGGGACAGTGACAGGAACTCTGGAGGGAGCCAGCTCAGGGAGTGTCCCAAGGTACTATTTGGGCAGAAGGGGCGGTGCAATAGAGCAGCCTCCCCAATGTCAACGGACAAATGAAACCCTGGGGCCCTGTCACCACAGCCTCCTGGTGAGGTCAGGGATGGGCCCATTGGTCTCTAGCAGCTGCCCATCTCATCTCCCCTGGTTAGAAGGGGAGATTGGAGGCTGGCAGGCTGCTGCGCCCAGTCCTTCCAAGGGGAGGGAGCCTGAACCCAGGCCCTGGTGGGCATCACTGGCTGCATGTGGCAGTAGGAGTGGCACAAGGAAGATGGGGGGTAGGGGGGGAGGTGAGGGACAATCTTGGCTTCCCTCCCAGGGGTTGGTGGCTCTTACCAGTCAGGACACGGGCACAGGAAGACCTGCCCAGGGGCACACAGCCTGTCTCCACTGTCCTGCTGTAGACCCGCCCTGGCAGCGCAGTTCCTGAACACGCAGGAGCCAACAGTGATCATCTCTCCAAACCCTTTCCCGCCTGAAACCGCACGCTTTCCCCATCTAGGATGAGCATCCTGGTGAACAGAGGGTTTGTCCCCAGGAAGAAACTGAATCCTGACACTCGAAAGAAAGGCCAGGTAAGGGGCAAAGGGCCCCCCAGTGAGCAGGGCTCTGGGAGCCCCCCTTCTCTGCTGTGTCCTGAGGGACACCCTCTTTTTTAGATTGAGGGAGAAGTGGACCTGGTTGGGATGGTAAGGCTGACAGAGACCAGGAAGCCTTTTGTCCCGGAGAACAACCCAGAAAGGAACCACTGGTACTACCGGGACCTGGAGGCCATGGCCACGCTCACAGGCACAGAGCCCATCTTCATCGATGCGGACTTCAGTACGTGGTGACGGGCCAGGCCAAGAAGCGGGGGGTCGGTTCCTGCTGTTTGCACTCTGGGGGGCGGGGGGAAGGCGGCTGTACACCAGGTTCAGGTGGAAGGTCCTGTTTGCGGTGAAGTGACATTGGCCAAGTTCAAAGGCTCTGGGGGAGATGGTTAGCAAGGCCCCAAGGAAGCAGCTGGCCAAGTGGCTGGAGGGAGACGGGTGCCAACACTCGGTGTCTCTACAGAGAGCACAGTGCCTGGAGGACCCATTGGCGGGCAGACCAGAGTGACGCTGAGGAACGAGCACATGCAGTACATCATCACCTGGTGAGCCCACCTCTGTGTGCGCGCGGGCCCCCCCCCTCACAACTGCTCACTGACACTCTTACCCCCAGGTACGGACTCTGCGCGGCCACGTCGTACCTGTGGGTTAAGAAGTTCCTGCGCCGGGCTCCTGGCACGTGACGAGATGACTGAGGTGGCCTGTCCTGGGAGCCACTGAATAAATACTTCACCAGATTGGGTTTAACCGGGCCTCGCGCTATTGGTATAAATAAACCGCCGCTACCTGAGTGATCTGGGTACCGGGCCCATCAGAAAACCCAGGCTTGGCTCAGTGTTCGAGTGCACGACGGCCGAGCAGCAGGCTCAGTTCTCTGAATGGACCCACACACGAAGCAACTTGCACAGTAGTTAGCTCAAGGCCCCTGGTTTGAAAATGGACTTGCTACCACCCCAGACTTCTTGCCGGCAATAAATCACCTCCAACCCCAAGTGACCAAGACGCTGGCTGAGGAGAATTTTTATTACTTTTATGTACAGAAAACTCAACAGTGCACACTTAGCCCAGCTTAGTGGCCAGCTCCTTCGCCTTGGCCTTCTCCAGCTTGGCAATGCGAGCCACCGACTTTGGACCCAGGACGTTGCCTCCCCAGTGGCGGCGGATCTGCAAGGACGAGAGCAGAAGTCAGTCTGGCCCAGCGGTTCGTGGTCTGCACGGCTCACGGAGAGCCAGGCAGGCCTCTGGCTGAGGCCCGACTCACCCAGACAGCGCTGCTTACCTCGTCGTATCTGTCGTTGTAGTTGGTCCGGACGGCCTCCACCAGCTTAGCCAGAGCTCCCTTGTCTTCCCTAAGGAGACGGGGACGTGGGTCAGACTGCGGGCCCTTCCAGAGTGGAAGTGGGGCCTTGTTGGCTCCAAACACAACAAGCCTTTTGCCTCAGACACAACATGACCACATGGTTTATTCAGGTGAAGAAATTCGTAACCATCATCGGCAAAGGTTCAGATAAATGTATTTATTCCTTTAAAGCTAGAACATTTGCTCTTTTAAGATAAAATCCAAAGAGATGAAGTGAACTGGGGGGTTGGGGGGGGCAGAGTGGAGGGTGGGAGCAGGCTGTCCCCTACGCACACTTGGGGTTCGGGACCAAGCTGCATACTTACGAGTTAACCTGTGTGAAGGCGACGGTGGTGCAGGTCTTCCTGTGGACGAGGCGCCCCAGCCTGGCCTTCCCCTTGATGATGCAGTAGGGGACCCCCATCTTCCGGCACAGGGCGGGCAGGAAGACCACCAGCTGGAAGACAGCGTTAGCTCAGAGTGTAGTCTGACCAGAAGCGATGATTTAAGTTAGCTGGGCAGCAATTGCTCAGGGTTAAAAAGCTCATGTATTTGCACTTCAAGGATTAATTCAGTGAGAAATTCACATCATTGCAAGAGCCACAAGGTAAGCTGGATCCCTCGTCAGTACTGTCCTCAAATGAAAAGCTGTCAGCCCACTTAATGTGGCAGACTCAGAAGTAAGCTTTATCTGTAGGTACCGACATAAAGACCCAGTCTCAGTTCAGCAGCCAGCGCTCACGAGGCCCACGTACCTCGATGGGGTCCACGTCGTGCGCTATCACCACCAGCTGGGCCTTCTTGTTCTCCACCAGGGTGGTGATCGTGTTCACCCCTAGAACACAGCCAGTCTGCGTGAGTGGGGTGCCTGCTGCTGCTCACAAAGCAGCTCTACATCAGGGCCAGCTATGCCTCGGGGTTAAGAGGCCCGACGTACTCTTCAGTGATTGCAGATGAAGGAGCCCACACCTAACTACTGACCGCCCCCCCCGCCCCCCCTTTAAGGAGAACCCCCTCACCCGCTCGGAGGACAGGAGGCCTCTTGGTGGGCACATCCCCTTTGCCGGCAGCTTTTTTCTCAGCCCGGGCCAGCAGCCTCTGCTTCTTCTCTTGCTTGGTCTCGGGCCGGTACTTGTGGGCCAGCTTCAGCAGCTGAGTGGCTGCGGAGAAACCACCAGCGTGGGCGCTGGGCCAGCGGCTCTCAGCCTTCCTCACGCCGAGGCCCTTTAATACCGCTCATGTGGTGGTGACCCCCAACCATGACATTTTCGTGGCTACTTCATAACTAATGTTGCTACTGTTATGAATCGTCATGTAAGTATCTGATATGCAGGATATATTTCCATTGTGACAAATTGAACGTAATTAAAGCATAGTGATCAATCACAAAAACAATATGTATGTGTTTTCCGATGGTCTTAGGCGACCCCTGTGAAAGGGTCGTTCGACCCCCAGGTTGAGAACCGCTGCTCTAGGCTCAGTGCTAACCTTCCTCACTTCGAGTCGGAAGCGTTAGGTGTGAGTTGCACTTCAAGAAGCCTCAGTTATGCCACCTCCAGGGTCTGGAAACTAAACAGGGAGCCCCGGTCCCTCCCAGCGCCGGCTGCCGGCCACACCACCTACCCGTCTGGCGGTCCAGGGCCTGGGTGAACTGGTTGATGGCGGGCGGCACTTTGAGCCGCTTGTAGAGAATAGCCCTTTGCCGCTGCAGCCGGATGTAGCGGGGCCACTTGACAAAGCGGGTGAGGTCCCTCTTGGGCTGGATGTCCTGTCCTGCGAGCGAAAGGCCGCCCTGAGCGAGGCTCTCACCTGCTTCCCGCCTGGGGCCGCGAGGGCGGGAGCATCAGGGATCTCGGTGGTTCAGCGTCATCACTCTCCCAGCGCAAACGTCCTCACATCATCTGCACGCGGCCGCCGCCGCCCGGAGGGGGCAGCTTAGGACCGGGCCCAGTCTGTAGCCACAAAGCGGCAAACGGGGCGTCCCCACCCCATCGGCAGGACCTGACCCGCCCACGAACGCCGCCCTCCGCGGCAGCCCTGCCGTCTCGCCCCTCCTCACTCACCGATGCCGAAGTTCTTGGGCCGCTTCTCGAACAGGGGGTTGACCACCTTCTTGGCCTCCTGCTTCTTCACGACGGCAGGGGCCGGCGCCACCTTCTTCCCCTTGGCCTTCTTCCCCTTCGGCTGCGCAGAGGAAACCCCGTCAGCCTCTGCCCCCCAGCTCCCCCGGAGGCGCCGGGCTCGGAGGGCCAGACCCCCCGGGCAGGGCCGCGCCCAGGCTCAGGCTCAGGCCCACGCGGCGCGGCAGCGAGCCCGGCTCGTGCATCAGCGATCTTGGTGGTTCGGGCGTCCTCACCGTTGCTCAGATAGCAAATATTCCTTCACATCATCTGCACGAGCCGGGCGGCCACGCTGCTGCGCGGCGCTGCCCCAGGGCTGAGGGCGGAGCTTTAGGACACGGACCGCCGGGACGGCCCCGTCCACAGCGCTGCACCCCCAACGCGGGGGCAGGGGTCCCCTTAGGAGTCCGACCCCAGAAACAGCAAGGGCGGACTCAGAACCCCTCGCCGAAGGCCCCGCCCGTGGCGGGCTGCGGGGCGCAGCAGCTCCCAGCCCCGCATTGCGGCGCGGCGCTTGCCGGGTCCTCCTCCCCCGGCCCGGACGCCGGGGAGTCTATCGCGGCCCAATGCCCTCTGTGCCAGGCCGCGCGGGGCTCTCCTCGCTCCGGGCGGTGGAGGGACCCCCGCGCGGCCGAATCCCGAGGAGGATGGCAGCGGATAGAGCCCAGGCCCGGCGCCGACATAACGTATCATGGAAACACTCACCATCTTGGGCGACTGGAGGAGAGAGAAAGGAAAGGGAATTGTGGGAAATATGTATGCGACCTCAAAGATCGCGAGAACTGGAGCCTGCGCGGGATTTCGAATTTAAAGCGACAGCACTCCTTTCGCGGGCCCTTCGGTCGGGGGCGGTGCCTAGAGCAGGGGGTGGATCTGTGCGAGCGGAAGGGGCGTGGAGATGGCGGCGGGACGCTCCGGGGGCTGAGCGGCGCCCGGGAGCCGGCACTTCCCGGGGGTGCTTGCTGGTCCCCAGGCCCGTCCTGGCCAGGTGCCCGCCGGGCCCAAGGTGTGCGGACAAGGTGCGGGCATCGGTGTGGCGCGGCGGGGTCGCCGTGTGCCGTGCCCCAGAATGGCGCAGAGACCGCGAGTTGGGTCTTTTGGCCGTGCGCCAGGCCCCGGGCCGAGCGCTGGGGCGCAGGGAGGGAGGGAGGGTGGTCCTGACGAGACCCCGGAGCCGGGAGGCTGTGCCCGGCCTGGAACTGGGTGGCGGGGTAGAGTTGCTAGATCCGCTGGAAAAGAGGCGGGGCAGCGATCGGGCCGGGAGCGGCGTGAGACCCGCAGTGGTGCACGGGTTGGTTTGGCAGAAAGGGGGTCCCCGAGAGCTGCACGTTCTCTGGGCCGTGGAGGGTGGGCGGCTGGGGATGGCTCTGCCTACATCAGACTCCGGCCCCAGGTGCTGCCTCGTGGCCCGCGGCCTCTGCTGCCCGCCCGGACGGAAGCCCCGCCATGGCCCAGCAGAGAGCCCTGCCGCAGAGCAAGGAGACGCTGCTGCAGTCCTACAACAAGCGGCTGAAGGACGACATCAAGTCCATGATGGACAACTTCACCGAGATCATCAAGACCGCCAAGGTGGGGGGGACAGGAGCCCGGGACTGCCCTGCTCTGGCCCCGCGTGTCCCGGAGCACCCTGGCGGGGGGGGGGGGGGGGGGGGGCGGGTACAGCTGCAGGGGCCCTTGCCCCCATGCCGAGAACACTTGGGGGGCACCAGGGGGTGGACGAGGACAGACAGGTCAGCAGACAAACCAGCTAATTACCGGTCCCGGTGAGGCAGCTGTAGGGACTATTCAGATGCCAGCTCAGCGCCAGCGGCTTGCCTAGCGGAGGCTTGGACAGGGACTGGGCGTCTCAGAGCTTTGGCACCCCAGTCATAGGGCCCTGGGTGAGTGGATCTGTGTAAAGTGGTTGCCTCCAGGCCTGGCAGGGACCCCAACATGGTAGCGGTTTCGAGTGAGTGGCGTCAGGAAGAGGAGCTGGGGAAGCCCCCGAGGGGGGTGAGCCGTCAGCGTTGGTTCAGTCGGCTGGATCGGCTGGATCACTTGCCCAAGACCCTTCTGCTCGTAACCGGCAGAGCAGGGTTGGAGCCCAGGAGGCCTGGCTCCCACCCCTGACGCCAGCCCGTACCCTGGCAACGCCCCTGGGAAGCCCTGTCCGGGCGGATGGATGGGGCAGCTAATGCCCTGGTCTGGCAACAAGGCAGGCCGAGCGGGCAGGCTCCTGATTTACCGTCGGAGACACTGAGCAGGCTCCCTGCCCTGTCCGGCCTCAGGCTTGCCCACCTGCAATCTAGGGAAGGCTGTCCAGGCTTCTGTGAGGAATTTTTAAAATTTACATTATTTTATTTTACTTATTTTTTTTCCACCTGAGGGTATTTTCCCATTGGTTTTTAGAGAGAGTGGAAGGGGGAGAGAGAGAAACATCAATGTGAGAGAGACACGTTGATTGGTTGCCTCCGGATTGAGCCTGCAGTCGAGGTACGTGTCCTTGACTGGAATGGAACCCAGGGCTCTTCGGTCGGAGGGCCGATGCTCTACCCACTGAGCCAGACCAGCCAGGGCTGAGACTTTTGTAAGATGATGATGGTCAAGGGCTTACCACGGTGCCTGGCGCCCAGGAAGTGGCCAGTAAGTGGTCACTTTAAAAAGGTCCTTGTTGCCCTGGCTGGCTTGGCTCAGTGGATAGAGCGCCGGCCTGTGGACTAAAGGGTCCCGGGTTCGATTCCGGTCAAGGGCATGTATATTGGTTGCGGGCACATCCCCAGCAGGAGGCAGCTTATTGATGTTTCTCTCTCATTGATGTTTCTAACTATCCTTCTCCCTTCCTCTCTGTAAAAAGGTCCTTGTTGCCCTGGCCAGGGTGACTCCGTGGGAGCAGCGTCCTGTGTGGTCAGGGCACATGCCCGGGTGGCGGGGTTTGGTCCCCCGTCAGGGTGTGTGTGAGGGGCCACCGATGGATGTTTCTCTCTCTCCCTCTCCCTTCCTCTCTCTCTGAAATCCATAAGAAGGTATTTTAAAAAAATCACTCTCTTGACTGACCTGTTCGGTTGACTGAGCGCTGGAGCTGGCGACACTGTCCGCACGGAGCGGGCTGCAGGCCCCAGACCCACGCGTCCCGGCCAGCTCTCCCGCACCTGTCCAGACGCAGGCGCCCGCCCTCCTCGGAACAAGAGGGAAGCCGACCGGCGCGGGGTCTGGGTGGGAAGAAGCGGGCAGGATGCGGAGTGTGGGCCGCGGGCGCCGGCTAACTGGGTCCCTCTCTGTCCCAGATTGAGGATGAGACCCAGGTGTCCAGGGCCACCCAAGGCGAGCAGGACAATTACGAGATGCACGTGCGAGCCTCCAACATCGTAAGTCACCGCTGCAAGGCCCGGTCCGGGCTCCGGCCCTCGGGGTCCCAGTGCGGAGCCCTCGGGGTCCCAGTGGGGTCTCCTGGGAGGAGGGCTGTCCGTGGCGGCCTGGGAGGGGCGGGCAGGGACCTGGCCTCGCGTCCCAGCTGCTGTGCGGCGCTCGGGAAGGGGCCGCTCTTCCCTGTTGAGAAATTTCCCTGAGATTCGTCACGAGAGCAGAGGCGAGTCTCTGAGTGTAACGGGACCTGCATTTGGTCCCTTCCGACGCCACAGAACAAGCACGTCCATCATTTCCCTGGGTGTGTGCCCGCGGGTGGAAACAGGACAAGTTCCCACAGGGATCGCCCAGCTGGCAGGGGAGCTGCCCGGAGGAGGGGCGGGGCAGGCGGCTAAGGGGTAGCACTTCCACCTGTGGGCTGGGGTTTTGAGAGGCAGAATGTGCTTGCACAACCTGTGTGATTGGCGATCACACCACCAGCTCAGAGCCCGGGGCCACGCGGGGTCGGGGCTGGGAGCTGAGGGCCCCTGCCGTCTCCCCTGGGCTGCATTCGGGGGTGGGGGGCGCTGGGGACCCTGTCCTCCCGTAGCTTACCTCGCGGTTCTCTCGCTTCTCACAGCGACCCTGTGAAGGTCACTGCCGTAGCCCCACTTTGCAGATGAGGAAACTGAGGCCATGGCTTGCCGGCATCCAGCCCAGGGAGACGGCGCTGTCCCGCCCTCACCTGCCTGCTCTGGCTGTCACCACAGGTCCGAGCCGGTGAGTCCCTGATGAAGCTGGTGTCCGACCTCAAGCAGTTCCTGATCCTGAACGACTTCCCGTCGGTGAACGAGGCCATCGACCAGCGCAACCAGCAGCTCCGGGCGCTGCAGGAGGAGTGCGACCGCAAGCTCACCGCCCTGCGGGACGAGGTCTCCATCGACCTCTACGAGCTGGAGGAGGAGTACTACTCGTCCAGGTACCAATAGGGCTGGACCCGGACCCGGACCGCAGCCCCGGCAGCCCCCAAGGTCCTGCTTTTCCAAACCCTGCTGGTCCCGCAGCAGAGCCCGGGCCGGCTTCAGAGCGCGCCTCCCGGTCAGAGCGTTCGACCACAGACACTTCCCACCATCCCCCGGGCCCTGGGGTGAAACGCACAGAACTTCCAGGCTTGGGAGGCCAGAGCCAGCGGTCCTGCCCGGGTGCCGCTGCCTCTCTTTGGACCTGTCTGCTCCCTTTAAACCTTCCTGTCCGAGGCTGGGCTGGTTCCTCATGGCCGCCCAGGCTATGCCCAGGTGCCACTGCTTGCCCACGGAGGCAATTCCGTGTGGGCATCACCAGGCGCCCACGGAGGTGCGGGTGCCGGGTCCCGGGAAGGAGGAGGGGACCAAGTAGAGGGGGGCTCAGCCTTGTCCACAGAGCCCCCTCCATGCCAGGCACAGGCTGTGCGCAGGGATACAGCGGTGGGCACGACCCATCACCCAGCCCTCGTGGGGCCACTGAGAATCCTGAAACCTGAGGCCTTTGAGAAATCCTAGTCCAAGTGCAACTTATGCGGGGGAAACCGAGGCTGGGAGGCCTTACTCCTCCGTTCCCGTTAGCTGGTCCCGCAGACATGGAGTCCGGGCCCTGGTGCTCTCGCAGACAGCTGTCCCTCCCGGGGCAGGTTCTATACGCCCCTTGCTGCCCCATGGGAGCCAGGCAGGGGCCATGGATGCCCAGAGCCAGCGTGCTCTGTGGTCTGGGGCGTGGTTCCCTGCCTTGGGTTTAGTGTCACTCGCATGGTCCTGCCCAGTGTGGCCTCTATGGGAAGGGACATTATGTCACTGCCCAGCTGGAGTGGTTCTAGACTTTTCCAGAGTGTCTGGGGCTGCCCCTGGTCCCTGAGACCCATCGGCTCAGCAGACTTGTGGCAGTTGCCTCCTAACACACCGGCCTTCAGAGAAAAGTCCTGAGTGGGTCCCCGTGAGGGGGAACTCAGACCCCGCTGGGACATGGCCCACAGCCACACTGGTTTTGCAGAGCCCCTTCACGGACCCAGCATCCCTAAGGGCCAGGCCTCTGGCCAGAGCAGCTCCAGGGCAGCGATTCAGCCCTGCCACTTGAGGGTAAGGGCCCAGAGGAGCGGACCTGCCCCAGGTCACTGGGCGGGGCCTGAGCGCCAGGCTTCCCCACCTGCCCGTCAGCCTGGGGTTCACCCCAGGGGTTCCAGGCCTGCCTGCTGGTCCCGCCAGCATCCCTGGGGCCTCGGGAGGCTGAGTTCCTCCCTTGTCTGTGATGTCCGGGGCGGGCTGGTACCCTCCCTGCTTATCCCTGGCATGCGCAGCCCCCCCCACCCTCCGCAGCCCCGCTCGCCCACCTCCACGCTTGCTCAGCCGCTTGCCACTCATGATTTGCTGTCTGTCTACCTCTCCCTCTGCTGTCCTTGGACACTGCTCTGTGACCAGGATGGTTTCTGAGACTGAGCGCTGAGGGTGGGAGCGAGGGAGCAGCCACAGGAAGGGCAGGACGGTGCGGCGAAGGGGCCGTCAGCCTCCATACCCGTGAGCCATGCTCTTCCCCTGCACCCCACTCGGTCCTCCACAGCGTGTTGGAGAGGTGGGGTACATGACGAACACCAGGGCCTCTTCCTGTCACCCGTCCAGGCTCCGTCCCAGCCAAGGGCAGACCCGGAAGTAAGACAGGGTCTCTGGCCAAGTGCAGGAGCCATGGGCTCTGGATGCTGGCTGCCACTACCGGTGAGGCTGCCGCGCCCCGGCAGGATGGGGTGGCAGCAGGGATGGCAGCAGGGACAGGACAGCCAGGTGACCCTCAGACGGGGCAGACACCTGCTCGATCAGCAGAGGGACCTGCCTGGCTGGTCCTGGACAGCCCTCCCTTTCCCTTTGGGATGTGAAGGACCCTGGCGCTGGGGGTCCCCGTGGGCCTCCCACCCAGCCAGGCCTGCTTGAAGGAGCGCCTGCCCAGAGGGGAGAGGCAGGTGTGGGTCCGGTCTGTTTTCTTAACTCTGCTCCTGTGTCGCTCTCCCTCCCTGCCCTCTGCCTGCTCCTGTCTCCCTGGGCTTCTGGTGGTGGAAAAGCTCCAGTCTCCGCGAAGCTAACGATCTGCCTCTGTGCGAAGCGTACTGGAGGCTGGACCTCGACACAGACGCTGCCGATGGCCTCGCGGCCCCCCTGCGGGCCTCCCCAGAGCCCAGCGCTGGCCCCCTGCAGCCCGCCGCCCCTGCCCACTCCCACGCTAGCGGGCCTGGCCCCACAGAGCGTGCCTGAGCCTCCGCTGTCTCCACCAGCCCCGGGATCTTAGCAACAAAATCTGGCGCCCCGCTCGGCCTTGGCTGCTGCTGGGGAGCGGCTGTGGCCTCCTTGGGAACCCCAAAGGGACAGCCCCCCCAGGAGTGTGGAGGGAGAGTAGATCCCCCCATTTCCAGAGTGGCCCACTCTTCCTCCAGGCACCTCTGTTCACTACCTTCCGGGCTGCTGCTGGGACCTGAGCCTGCTGTTTAACGTGGGGAGGGGCGCTGGGTGGACAGTCCTGGTGCACACCGGGCCCCTGTGCAGCCACCGTGCCGCCTCGCCCGGGGCCCCTGCAGAGCTGGGGCTGGGGGGGTTCACACGGGAGCCGGCGCGGGCTCCTTCCTGGCTCTGCGGTACACATCCTGGTTCATTGTGTGCGAGACGGTTGAATAAAGACAGCACTGCCCTTCGGCTTTGGTCAGTTCTTCCTTGCTCACACCTGACCGCCCGGATCCCCTCCATCTCCCAGTGGCCATGGGTCCTGGCTGCATACCCCGCCCAGCACTGCCTGGGCCCCGGATCTTTGATGTGAATGAATGAAACACTGGTCCCTTCTAGTCCTCACTGCACCCAAGTCTGGTGACGGGCACTTCAGGGAGGAGTGGCCATGGGCTTGGAAGGGGGCGATGGGGCCACGGAGCCGGGAGGCAGCAATCAGTACTCAACCCACAGAACCAGAGGCCCAGTGCCACTAACAGGTCACCTGAGAAAGGGGGGGGGGGGGCACAGCTGACCCATCTCAGGTCCCAGAGACCCCCACGGCCAAGCAGAGGCAGCAGCCCGTCGGGTGGCAGCCTGGGCCTGGCTCCTGCTGGGGGGGCGGGGGGGGGGTGCGGGAAGTTGCCCCCCCCTTTGCGTGACCCCCATTGGCAGGATGGGTGGCGACCTCTTCCCGCAGCATTTTAGTTGCGGAATAACGTGCTGAACCACGAGGGGAGAACAAGATTTCAACCAAGAGGAGTGCGTGTGGGGGAGGGGGGAGGAGCGGCCGTCCAGCCCTTGCCCCGAGCACCGCCCGCGCCGCCGTCAGCTCATCGCCGGCCGCCCCCGGAGCGCGAGGCGGTGCCGGCCTATTGCTGCCGCCCGGCCCGGGGAGCGCCTGCGGGGCGCGGGGCGCGGGGCTGCGAGGCCCGGCCTGGGGGTGACCCACACCCGCCCGCCCCCTAGTGCCGCGGAGGCCACGCCCACGGGCCCCGCTCCGCCCACGGCCCACAATGCCCTGCGCCCCGCCCCGCGGGCCGCTTCCGGTGGAGCCAGGCGTGGCGAATCGAGCACCGCGCGGGGGCGGCTCGGCGCTCGACTGGCAGCGCCTGCGCACGTGGTGTTCCCGGCGAGCGGCGCCGCGGCCGCGACCTGGGTTGCTTAGCGTCGCGCGGGCGGGGACCGGGTGTGAGTCGGAGGGGAGACCAGCACTGACGTAGGGCGCTGCGCCCCCGTGCCCCGGAGCAGCACCCCGAGGGAGCCCCCCCGAGCCTCCGGCCATGGCTTCCCTGCTCGCCAAGGACGCCTATCTGCAGAGCCTGGCCAGCAAGATCTGCGCCCGGCCCAGCCCCGAGCCGCACCAGCGCAAGTCGGGTAAGCGCAGCCCGCGCGGGACCGGGAGGGCTTCGGAGGGGGTGCCCCCCCGCCCTGCCGCGGCCTGCACCGCCCCGCACCCCGAGGAGCCGTGGGGTGGACTAGACACGTGTGTGCGTGACACGAGCGGGTAACATACTAACAGGAAGTACAAGTGGTGTTTAAAGTCCCCGGTGTTCCCTGGTCGTCGGGCGCCGCAGCCGGGGGCCCGAGGGTTTCAGCGCCATCTGCCCACCTGGTGCGTCACTTGAATGACGTTGTGATGAATGTCCTCGAGGCGAAATCTTGGTGTGAACCCAGCATGAATCTCACTGCCGGGCCCAGTGTGGGCAAGTGGGTCAGGGTTCTGATACGCGCGGCCAGTCTAGGAAGTTTGTGGTTCTGAGCCCCACGGGTAAGGATCACGGGATCCTTCATCCTGGTCCGCCGTGGGCATCCTCCTGGGATCAGAGCCTCCTGCCTACTGAATGGGCCACAGAGCCTGGGACCGCATCACTACCTCCTTTTGTATTCCAGGGGGCAAAGCTCAGGGCTCAGAAGCTGCCGGGCCCCCAAAAAAGAAGAGGAAGAGGGCACAGAAGAAACCCCGGGAGCAGAGGGAGAAGGCCGTGGAGTCCAAGGCCCAGGCCCTGGGGGAGAAGCCTCGGGCAGCTTCCCAGGCCAGGAAGCCCTTGGCAGCCAAGCAGGAGAGGGCCTCTGGCTCCTCCGGGGTCCCTGCAGGTGAGGAGCTCCAGGACGCTGGGCAGGGCCAGCTGGGATCCATGCAGACACGCTCCCCTCTAGTAAGAAAAAGTGGTGTCAGGCACACTAGGGTGACTAACGGAGGGGGGGGCTCCCCTTTCCAAAGAGCGGGCTTTCAGAGGCCCTGTGGGCAGAGGGCATCCCAGGGAGTGCACGGTGGTTCCAGGACTTGGTGCAGGGCAAGGCTGTGAGGACCTAGAACAGCGTGGCTTTGAGCGTATCGCTGCCCTCAAGTATCTGCAGGGGCGTCCTGAATGCTGACAGGGGAAGCACAGGCTGCAGGAGCTGACGGGATGGAAGGTGGGTTTGGCTCGACCCGCAGGAAGGTTTTGTCATCACACACAAGCATGTCCTGACCCTGAGGATCAGGGGCCCATCCAGGCTGCAATGTATTGGAACTGCCCTGCAGATCCGTCACCGGCCACCAGGGGAGGCAGCGCGTGGAGACCCGGCTTTGAAGCTGGGCCCTGGGGAGGGGAGCCTCTTTCAGTCCTCTGATTCCTTCCTTGCAGATGGCCGGGCCACGGAGTCTGACTCCCTCTTTGCCCTGGATGTCCTGCGGCAGCGGCTGCATGAGAAGATCCAGGAGGCCCGGGGCCAGGTAGGTGGGGGAGCGCTCGGGGGCCAGGAGCAGCGTGTTTGCTGCAGTGGTTTCCCCCTCTGCCTGGAGAGGAGGTGCGCTCTGCGGGGTTGGCCCCCAGCTCTGCCGGCCACTGTGGGCCTGAGCCGCATTTCAGGGACATGCGGGGCTGACAGGAGGGGCTCAGCGGCTCCGTTCTGAAAGAGGCCGGGTGTTCTTGTCTCGGGGAGCCTCAGTCCCCAGGGTCACTGCCTTTGGCTGGCCTAGGAGAAGCTCGGCCCCTTCCCCCCCAGGATGCCGCCTGTGCTGAACACACACTGGTGACACTTCCGTCCATCGGAGTGTCCCGGCAGCGTGAGGTAGGCGGGGCCTGGGATGAGGTGACCTGCCCAGTGACGCCACAGCAAAGGTGGAGACCGAACCAGCCTCAGCCTCTCTGAATGGCATCGTTCGCCCTCTGGCTCGGCCACCACTGCCCTGGTGCTGGGGACCTCCCTGGGCCTCTTGCTGTGTGGGGACAGCCCCCCCTTCTTTCCCCACTGTCCTGGGCAAGCCCAGGGCCCGTTCCTAGAGGTGAGTCAGCTCCAGGCCCTGCCTTCCTGCCGTGGGGCCTGGGTAGTCGGTCTGGGCCCTCGTGTTGGCCGGGGAGTAGGGGGGTGAAGGCTGTTGGTGACGCAGTGCTTGGGCCTGTCCCACAGAACAGTGCCGTGGTCGGCACAGGCGCCATCCGAGCGGACGCCGGGGGCTGTGTGGCCTCGGCCCAGCCACCTGCCCCACGTGTCTGTACAGAGGTGGACGGCATCTGCCGAGTCGGGTCTCGGGAAGATTTGGTGAAACTGAGTCTGTAAAGCACCCCGGTCATTGCCTGGGACCTGGAAGCCGTGGTTCTTACTTGGGGGTCCCCTTGTCCCTCTGGGGTCGGTCGCATTTTGGGTGACAGGTCATCTCAGAGTCGGACAGTCAGTGGGCCCTTGTCCTGCACAGGGGTTTCCTCCCGAGCCCCTGCCCTGATCCCACGCGCGGGGCTGGGGCCGGAAGTTGGGAGAACCGCGAACAGGCTTTCCCTCTCCAGGGCGGCACCAAGGAGCTGTCCCCCGCCGCTTTGGAGAAAAGACGGCGGCGGAAGCAGGAGCGGGACCGGAAGAAGAGGAAGCGGAGGGAGCTGAGGGCCAAGGAGAAGGCGGCAAAGGCCGCGGGGCCCGTGGAGGCTGCGGAGCCGGCCCCCGAGGCGCCCGGCCAGGAGGCGCAGGGCCAGGCGGGGCTGCTGTTCAACAAGGTGAGGGCCGGTGCGGGCGCTGCCCTGGCGGTGCGTGTCCCGGGGCTGCGGGTGGGAGCCGGCGGTGACGCGCCCTGGTCCCCTGCTCCCCGAGGTGGAGGTGGGCGGCGAGGAGCCGGCCGGCAAGGCCCAGCGCCGGAAGGAGAAGCGGCAGAAGCTGAAGGGGAACCTGCCGCCGCTGACGGGCAAGAACTACCGGCAGCTGCTGGAGCGGCTGCAGGCGCGGCAGGAGCGGCTGGAGGCGCTGCGGGAGCAGGACGCGGGGCAGGCGCGGGCGCTGGAGAGCAAGATGCAGTGGACGACGGCGCTGTACCGGGCCGAGGGCGTGCGGGTCCGCGACGACGAGCGCCTGCTGCAGGCGGCGCTGAAGCGCAAGGAGAAGCGGCGGGCGCAGCGGCAGCGCCGGTGGGAGAAGCGCACGGCGCACGTGGTGGAGAAGATGCAGCGGCGGCAGGAGCACCGCCGCCAGAACCTGCGCAGGAAGAAGGCGGCCAAGGCCGAGCGGCGCCTGGAGAAGGCCCGCAAGAAGGGCCGGGTCCTGCCGCAGGACCTGGAGCGGGCCGGCCTGGCCTGAGGGCGCCTGGCGGCTCCGCCCTGGCCCCTGGCGCCCCTGCAGCGCTGGGCGGCCCCCAGCCCGTGCGCACTCACACTCACTCTCAGGCTGGGTCACGTGGGCGAGGGAGGACGTTATTGAGAACAGGAGCCCAGGCCCCAGGGGAGGGGACCAGATGGGCTCCCGCCTTCTCTTGTGACTCCGGGAACTACCTCCCCCCCCCAAGTGTGCAGGCTGAGGGGCGAGGGAGCAGTGTGGAGGCCCTGGGACTTGGGGCGCTCGCTGCTCCTCCCCTGCCGTGTTCACAGGAGCAGGAAGGAAAGGCCTTGGTGGCTGCCCGCGTCACTTGGAAGCGACAAAAACCCAGCGCCCGCAGCCCGAGCCCAGGATGGAGCTGGCAGCTGGTCACTGGGGGAAGGGAGGGCGGTGACCTCGGGTGGGACTGGAATGGCATTGTTCTATTTGTAAGAAGGGTGAGAACTAGCGTTCAAGGTAAACATGCACATGAAGAATCCTAACAGCCCAGCGGGCGTGGCTCAGTGGTTGCGCATCAACCTATGAACCGGGCGGTCATGGTTCAGTTCCCGGTCAGGGCTCATGCCCAGGTTGCTGGAGGCAGCCTATCAATGATTCTTATCATTGATGTTTCTATCTCCCTCCCTCTGAAATCAACAAAAACATTTAAATATATATATATTCATTTCAGAGAGAGAGAGAGAGAGAGAGAGAAACATCAGTGATGAGAGAATCATTGATGGGCTGCCTCCTGCATGCCCCCCACTGGGGATCGCGCCTGCAATCCGGGTATGTGCCCTGGATCTGAATTGAACCTGGGACCCTTCAGTCCGCAGGCCAACTCTATCCACTGAGCCAAACCAGCTAGGGCAATAAAAATCTATTTTCAAATAGAAAAGGGTGTTTCTTCATCTTTATGTAAATAAATGATACCATTTGGACGTGAAAATTCAAGTATTGAAGAAGTTTATTCAGTATATAAACACAAAGTTGATCCTATTGGGTGGGGAGGGAAAAGACGGGTAAGTACACAGAGAATGAGTCCCTGTCATAACTCATGAAAGGGCATTAATATCACATTGTTTAAGCAAATAGAGGGTGAAAGGTTTATGAAATTATGACTAACAATTTTCCACTGGATTAAAGTTCGAATGTTTTTTGGTTTTTTAAAATTGATTCTTGGGAAACGAGAGCGAGAGAGAGAGACATCAATGAGAGAGAAACATCAATTGGCTGCCTCCTGCATGGCCCCCACCAGGGATGGAAGCTGAAACCTGGGCATCGAACCGGTGACCTTTGGCGCATGGGTTGATGTTCAACAACTGAGTCTTAATACCTGCCAGGCTAAACTCCAGATCTTTCAAATTATTGGGGGAAAAAAACATAAACAAACCACACAGGGTAGGGTCCTCCTCCGCTATTAAAAACGAAATAAAAATACCTTAATTGAGCTAAGATGTAACAATCGTAGCTGTAACTGAAAAGGTCTTCAATGTACTTATGAAGGCACCTAGGCTGGAGACGGTGGGGGAGTGGGGTGAGGCGAGCAGGGCAAAACCCTGGGCTTGGTTCTGAGAGCAGGGAAGCCACCGATGGGGCCGCTGTGTCCCTCGGTTGTCCGTAAAATATCGCCAGCACCAGCGGTGGTGCACCTAGCGGAAGGTCTGGGACTGAGCTGCCTGGCTGCCAGATCCGGCACACTGCAAAGCTGCCTGGCTCCTCCCACCAGGAGGGAAGGTGGGGCTATGCCAGGCAGGGAGTGGGCATTGTTCTCAGATTCCTGTGACAGCCCCAGGTCAAAACAGCTGCCAGGCTTACCTGCACCTCCCATTCCTGGCCTCGGCCTCCAGGCAACTGGCCAGGCCTGCGTCCTCAGAGGAGCCATGGAGCCCACAGGTGAGCAGGGAGGGGCAAGGGCCCTGGGTGACCACGGGCTTCACAGCTGGGGCTTCCAGCGGCGCTGAGCAGTGGGCAGAGAGGGTCTGGGGAGCTGCGTGTGTGCGCGCGCGCGCGCGCGCGCGTGTGTGTGTGTGTGTGTGTGTGTGTGTGTACATGTGTGTGTGTGTGTGTACATGTGTGTGTGTGTGTGTGTGTGTACAATGTGGCCAGGGTGGTGGCAGCTGGGGCAGAAGACAGACCCTCGGGGCGATGTCCTGATGCTGATGACCTGCGAAGCTGCTGCTGGCCAGCCCTCCTGCAGGTGGAGCCCCTTCCCCTGCCCTCCGTTCGGGCCCCAGAGGGCAGAGCAGGGCAGCAAGGGGCCTTCCTCCTGTGTGAGGTCCGCCCAGCAGGCCCCGGCCCTCCGAGGAGCTGGTGGGGCACCCAGGGTACCTGCTGTGTGTGGGAGGGGGGAGGGCAGAGGGTGATGGAGGGGAAGAGGAAGGGGCAGAGCACCACTAGGCCCCTTCCTGCCGGGACCCTGCACCTGGTCAGGACGGTGGACTGTGCTACACATTCCTGGGGGGAGGGGTGGCCCTCCCAAAGCAGAGAGGCCCAGGTGGGCACGGGTGCTGGGGGGTGGGAAGGGCCACCAGCGACAACCCGGATCTGAAGGTCAGCGACCTGGCACAGTGGCAGATTCCTCCCCAGGTGGCTTAGGTCTGTCCTGATTTTAGCACTTTAGTCCTGCGTCCTGGGGACCCAGCTGGTCCCACGCACACCGGGCAGGGTGTCATCCTGGACCTGGGTTTGGGCTCTAGCTTTGCATGAATTCTACATGACTTTGGGCAAAACTGTTCTGTGGAAAACCACTCCCTGGCCTGATGCTTGGCACTGCGGCCTGGGCTCTCCTGGCAGCGCCCTCTGTCCCCTCCCTCTTCCCAGCACTAAGCAGATGTTTCCCTGGCTGCACGGGAAACGCCCTAAGCCCTTTGGATCTTTGATACGAAAAAGAAAGAAAAAGCTGTTTTAAATTACTTCCTTGATTAGTGGCAACTAACGTGTTCTCTGTTCTTTTAACTTAGTCGGCCAACGGCAGTCTAGAGACACATTTGGCTGTGTTTTTCCCTGTGCCTTTGCGAGCCTGGAAGATTGTCCAGCCTTACAGATCCCCTACCAGCCCCCAGGACCTCTCCCTCCCTGTGCTCACATCTCACCAGCAGGCACCACACCACCGTTTTGCCCATCCTACCCAGACCACCCCGGGGGTTAGTGTTCCCGCTTCGGGTCTCTCTGGGGGTGGCCTCTGCCTCACCTGTGGCCCTGGATCCTCCACAGCAGGTGGTTTCCTGCTGCTGGTACTCCCTGCGGTCCCTGCCCACCTGCCATGCCCCCCCTGCCTCTCTCTCTCTCCTGTGTCTGGCCTGCGGCCCAATGGCCTGCCCTCAGCTGGGGGGGTGTTATACCAGCACCAGCCTCATAAATCTTGTGTTTCCTGCACCTCTGATTTGCATCATTTTCTCTTGTGTGTGCCTTAACCTCGTGTTCTGTGCAGGAACATGCCGCACCGGCTTATAGCCCGGGAGCAGCAGGGTCCATCGCCCAGCCTAGGTGTGGCGTGGACTGTGCCATCTAGGTTTCTGCATCCATATTCGTACAACGAGATCGCCTAAGGACGCATTTCTTTTTTTTTTCTTTCTTTTTTTTTTTATTGCTTAAAGTATTACAAAGGGTATTACATATGTGTCCTTTTTTTCCCCCCCGCCCTTGACAATCCCCTGGCCTCCCCTATCCCCCAGTGTCTTATGTCCATTGGTTATGCTTATATGCATGCATACAAGTCCTTTGGTTGATCTCTTACCCGCCTCCCTCCTGCCCCCCAACCCTCCCCGGCCTTCCCGCTGCAGTTTGACAATCTGTTTGAGGCAGCTCTGCCTCTGTATCTATTATTGTTCAAAAGTTTATAATGGTCTCTATTATCCATGAATGAGTGAGATCATGTGGTATTTTTCCTTCATTGACTGGCTTATTTCTCTTAGCATAATGCTCTCCAGTTCCATCCATGCCGTTGCAAATGGTAAGAGTTCCTTCCTTTTTAGAGCAGCATAGTATTCCATCGTGTAGATGTACCACAGGTTTCTAATCCATTCATCTACAGATGGGCACTTAGGCTGTTTCCAGATCTTAGCTATGGTGAATTGTGCTGCTATGAACATAGGGGTGCATATATCCTTTCTGATTGGTGTTTCTGGTTTCTTGGGATATATTCCTAGAAGTGGGATCACAGGGTCAAATGGGAGTTCCATTTGTAGTTTTTTGAGGAAACTCCATACTGTCTTCCATAGTGGCTGTACCAGTCTGCATTCCCACCAGCAGTGCACGAGTGTTCCTTTTTCTCCACATCCTCTCCAGCACTTGTCGTTTGTTGATTTGTTGATGATAGCCAGTCTGACAGGTGTGAGATGGTACCTCATTGTTGTTTTGATTTGCATCTCTCGGATGATTAGTGACTTTGAGCATGTTTTCATATGTCTGTTGGCTTTCTGAATGTCCTCTTTTGAAAGGTGTCTATTTAGGTCCTTTGCCCATTTTTTGATTGGATTGTTTATCTTCCTTTTGTTAAGTTGTATATGAGTTCCCTGTAAATTTTGGAGATTAGGCTCTTATCAGATATGACATTGGCAAATATGTTCTCCCATGCAATGGGTTTTCTCGTTGTTTTGTTGATGGTTTCTTTTGCTGTGCAGAAGCTTTTTATTTTGATGTAGTCCCATTTGTTCATTTTCTCTTTAGTTTCAAGTGCCCTAGGAGCTGTATCAGTGAAGAAATTGCTTCGGCATATGTCTGAGATTTTGTTGCCTTTGGATTCTTCTAGAATTTTTATGGTTTCCTGTCGTACATTTAAGTCCTTTATCCATTTTGAGTTTATTTTTGTGTATGGTGTAAGTTGGTGGTATAGTTTCATTTTCTTGCATATATCTGTCCAATTTTCCCAACACCATTTATTGAAGAGACTGTCTTGGCTCCATTGTATGTTCTTGCCTCCTTTGTCAAATATTAATTGAGCATATTGGTTCGGGCCGATTTCTGGGCTCTCTATTCTATTCCATTGATCTATATGCCTATTGTTGTGCCAGGACCAGGCAGTTTTGAGAACAGTGGCTTTGTAATACATCTTGATATCTGGTATTGAGATCCTACCTACTTTGTTCTTTCTCAGGATTGCTGCAGCTATTCGGGGTCTTTTTTTTATTCCAGATGAATTTTTGGAGAGTTCGTTCTAGATCTGTGAAGTATGCCATTGGTATTTTAATGGGAAGTGCGTTGAATTTATAGATTGCTTTGGGTAGTATGGACATTTTAATGATGTTGATTCTACCAATCCATGAACATGGTATGTTCTTCCATCTGTTTATGTCTTCCTCTATCTCTTTTTTCAACGGCCTGTAGTTTTCAGAGTAGAGGTCTTTTACCTCTTTAGTTAAGTTTATTCCTAGGTAGCTTAATTTTTTTGGTGCGATGGTAAATGGTGCCGGGAGCTGGTCCATCCTTGCTGTTTCAAGGGACCTGGCATATATGGCATACTGTTCTTAATATGTTTGCTCACCTTCTTGGCACTATGTGTTTTAACCAAGGTCACCTCTCTGAGAAAGGTTGTTTCCCCAGGTAGGGATTTTCCCCTGAAGTTAGGGAGGGAATAAAACCCCTTAACTAAGTGCCAGGCGGGTAATTAATCACTTTAACTACAAACAATCATGCTTAAGCTACATAATCTTTACTCCCTGGAATGGAGATAAGAAACACCCTAACCTTTGGAATAGAGATTGATAGGATTGGAATCAACTGGTATAAATACAGATGTAACAAGACAACAGGACACAGAAACTACACAGAACCTAGAGACAGAAGAACTTCACTGGAGAGAACATGGCAAAAGATCCTGGACAGAAACTGGCCACAGAACCTAGAGACAGAACCTAGCAAGAGAACCTGGCTGAAGAACCTAGAGACAGAATCTGGCTACAGAACCTGGATAGAACATGGCAAGAGAACCTGACTAGAACCTGGTTACTGAACCTGGCTGGAGAACCTAGCAAGGGAACATGGCTACAGAACCTGGCTGGAGAACCTAGAAAACCTGGCTGGAGAACCTAGCAAGAGAACATGGACACAGAACCTGGCTGGAGATCCTAACCAGAACTTCGCTGGAGATCCAGACCAGAACTTGGCTGGAGATCCTGGCTAGAGATCCTGGCTAGGCTGCTGATCAACTGAACCCTGTCTCCGTGTCATTCCTTCTTCACCGACTCCGTCCACACCTTTGGGGACCCCTGGACCTGCTGGGGTTGGACCCCAGCAAAATGGGATTGTTTTTATAATCTCTCTTTCTGAAAGTTCACTATTGGTGTATAGAAATGCCTCAGATTTCTTGGGGTTAATTTTGTATCCTGCTACATTGCCAAATTCATGTATTAAGTCTAGTAGCTTTTTGATGGAGTCTCTAGGGTTTTGTATGTATAATATCATGTCGTCTGCAAATAAGGACAGTTTTACTTCCTCTTTTCCAATTTGGATGCCTTTTATTTCTTCTTCTTCCTAATTGCAATGGCTAATAGTTCCAATGTACTATGTTGAACAGGAGTGGTGAGAGTGGGCATCCCTGTCTTGTTCCTGTTCTTAGGGGAAATGGTGTTAGTTTTTGTCCATTGAGTATGATGTTGGCTGTGGGCCTGTCATATATGGCTTTTATTATGTTAAAGTATGATCCTTCTACTCCCGCCTTGCTGAGAGTTTTTATCAAAAATGGGTGTTGGATTTTGTCAAATGCTTTTTCTGCATCAATTGATATGACCATGTGGGTTTTTTCTTTCAATTTGTTTATGTGATATATCACGTTTATTGATTTGCGGATATTGTACCATCCTTGCATCCCTGGGATAAATCCTACTTGGTCATGGTGTATGATCTTTCTGATGTACTGCTGGATCCGATTTGCTACGATTTTGTTGAGGATTTTGGCATCTATGTTCATGAGGGATATTGGCCTGTAATTCTCTTTCATTGTGTTTACTTTACCTGGTTTTGGTATTAGGGTGATGCTGGCTTCATAGAATGAGCTTGGAAGTGTTCCTTCCTCTTGAATTTTTTGTAGTAGTCTGAGGAGGATAGGTTTTAGTTCTTCCTTGAATGTTTGGTAAAACTCCCCTGTGAAGCCGTCTGGTCCTGGGCTTTTGTTTGCTGGAAGCTTTTTGATGACTGCTTCAATTTCTTCCATAGTTATTGGCCTATTGAGATTTTTAGATTCTTCCTGATTGAGTTTTGGAATGTTGTATTTTTCTAGGATTTGTCCATTTCCTCCAGGTTGTCTAGTTTGTTGGAGTAGAGCTGTCCATAGTATTTTTTAACAATCATTTGTATTTCTGTGGGGTCTGTTGTTATTTCACCTCTATCGTTTCTGATTTTGTTTATTTGGGTCCTCTCTCTTTGCTTCTTGGTGAGTCTGGCTAGAGGTTTGTCAATCTTGTTTATCTTTTCAAAGAACCAGCTCTTGGTTTCATTGAGGACGCATTTCTTAGCAGGATTCCCATCTTTAAGTGGCGAGAGGCTGTACTTCCCGCCTAGATGAATTTGGTTTCTCCAGGCCTATGGTTATTTGCTGGGTATACCTTCTACTCTACTTGCACACCAGACTTATGTGTGTCTTCATTTCTAAGGTATGTCTCCTGAAGACAGCTTAGAGTTGAAGCTCTTCTTTAAATCCAGTCTGACAATGGCTGCCTTCCAGTAGCGTTCAATGCCATTCGATGTTGTTATTGCTGTGATTGGATTTCCAGCCACCATTTAGCTATTGGTTTCCTCTATGTTTTGCGAGTTTTTGCTCTTTTGTTTCTCCTTACGATATTCTTTTACGTTAAATAGATATTTCCCATTGCACTGTTTTAATTCCCTTGCTGTTTTTAAGGATATGTTTGTAAGTTATTTCTTTTAGTGGTTGCTCTGGAGATTATGCATTCCAATTTACATAATTTACTTCAGTCTATACCAACTTAATTCCAGCAGAATACAGAAACTTTGCTCCATTTAGCTCCATTTCTTCCCTCCTCTCTCTTTTTTTTTTTTGGACCAGAGTGACAGGCAGGCGGCTGGGAGGTGCGTTTGCATTCAAATGTTTTTGTTTTTTTTAAAATATATTTTATTGATTTTTTTACAGAGAAGAAGGGAGAGGGATAAGAGCTAGAAACATCGATGAGAGAGAAACATCGATCAGCTGCCTCCTGCACGCCCCCTACTGGGGATGTGCCCGCAACCAAGGTACATGCCCTTGACCGGAATCGAACCTGAGACCCTTCAGTCCACAGGCTGATGCTCTATCCACTGAGCCAAACCAGTTTGGCTCTTCCCTCCTCTCTTGTCATATATGTTCATTCATGCATGTTATGAACTCAGAAATACTGTCTTGTAAGTACTACTTTAAACAATCTTTCTTTTACATTAGGGCAAAGAAGGAGAAAAGTGTTTTTCAAGCATTTTATTTTAAACTTCATATTAGCCATTTGCTTTACTCTCTGTTTCTTTAGTTTGTTTGTTTGGTTGGTTAATCCTCACCCGAGGATATTTTTCCACTGATTTTTTTAGAGAGTGGAAAGGAGAGGAGAGAGACTGAGAGAGAAAAGCGTCCATGTGAGGGGCCAGGGATCAAGCCTGCAACCGAGGTGCCTGCCCTTGATTGGAACTGAACCCAGGGCCTTTCAGTCGAGGTCCGACGCTCTATCCACTGAGCAAACCGGCTGGGGCTGCTCTTAAACTCTTCCTGTGTATTTGGGTTGTTGTCTGGTGACATTTCTTTGCTCAATAGCCCTTCATTTCATGCTCTTCACTTGGCGCTACTATTGTCATGTCCATTGCATCCTGTTACAAGCCCGGCAAGGTTACAGGATACAAACTCACTATACAAACCAATCATATTTCTATATACTTGCTACAGCCAATCAGACAATGACAATTTAAAAATACTATTTACAACAGTATCAGAAAGCATGAAACACTTAGGGATGAGTTTATCGAATTGAGAGCAATGTCTATACAATTAAGACCACCAAGCATTGCCAGAGAAATGTAAGAAGATATAATGAGTGGAGAGAAAGACTATGTTTTCATGGGTTGGAAGATTTAGGGTTGTTAAACTCTCCCTTCTCCTCAAATTGATCTATGGAATTACATAATCCCAACCAAAACTCCAGAAGGCCTTTTTATAAAATTTGACAAGCTGATTCTATAATTTATATGGAAATGCAAAGGTCCCAGAATAGCCAAAACAAATTTGAAAATGGAAAAAGAACTTTAAGGGCTTACACGTCCTTATTTCAAGATGTATTACAGAGCTACAGTGATCCGTACAGGTTGGCATTGGAATAGACCTGCAGGTCAATGGGACAGAACCCAGGCTCCAGATATATAGATTGTCCCCCAAAAATGTATGCACACACTTGGAATAATTATAAAGGCAGTGTTTATTATAATCATTTCATTTTCAAAATTGAGCTCTCAGCTGTTAAAGTGTATATACATTTTGGGGGACACACACGGATTTTCAATAGAGTGCTAAAAGAATAAAATGGGGAAAGGAAAACATTTTCAATTCAAATAGCTGAAATTATTGGATATCTGTATAGAACAAGAAAAACAAAAAAGAACCTCAATCCTTCACACCATAGACAAAAATTACAAAATTTCTGCCTGGCCAGCATGGCTTGGTAGTTGAGCATTGACCTATGAACCAGGAGGTTATGGTTCGATTCCCGGTCAGGGCACATGCCGGGGTTGAGGGCTCAATCATCCCCAGGGTGGGTGTGCAGGAGGCAGCCTGTCAATGATTCTCTCTCATCATTGCTGTTTCTATCTCTCTCTCCCTCTCCCTTCCTCTCTGAAATCAATAAAATATATATCTATAAAAAGCTAAAAAAAATAGGATAAGTAGGAAGAGATGTGACTTAGACTTTTTACCTTGTAATGGTTTATCTTTTTAACACGTTAGTGACATATTACCTATTCAAAGGTAAAATTCGAAATTATTCCGTTTAAATTTGTTAGCTCTGTTATTTTATTGCGCAGAGTGCAGTGGAATAAGCATCCTAAAGATTCTCTGTCCTCTGCCTGCTTGTTCATTCATTTGTTTGGAGGAACTGGGGTATATTGTAAGCAAATGCAACAACGGATCTCACTGAAGGCTTCACGGACGCCAGGTGTCTGGATGCAAAGGAGACCGAGTGATTCATAGGTCTTCACTCTAACACAGTGCCTAGGTTTTCAGGTGGCCATGTTTCCAAATGTACGTTCTTTCCTCGTGAGCAGACAGAAAAGAGCACTAACTACATGCACTTAAATACACATGAAGATGTGCTGAGTTATCCACACTCACAGCGAGATCAGTGTCACTCTCCTCTGTGCGCCTGCCTCTTGGGAGAAAATGGGACTTTCTGGAAAGAGCATCAGGCAAGTCTTACCTCAGACCCAGGCTTTACCACTTACTATCTACGTTATTCTTTTAAGCCTCAATTTTCTTACTTAAAATAAAAATAATGAGGTAGAAGAGGGTAGAGGGGGCCAAATGGTGATGGAAGGAGACTTGACTTTGGGCGGTGAACACACAATACAATATACAGATGATGTGCTATGGAATTGTGCGCCTGAGATCTATTTAATGTTATTCACCAATGCCACCAAAATAATTCAATAAAAATTAAAATGAAAAAAAATATATATTTTAAATAGTAAATGCTACATAATGCACTTTCTCCCTAGATGAGTAGTACATGAACACTGAACACATGCCTTTAATATTTCAGAACTATAAAGTCACATGCATTGCAGAAACTTAGACAAGGAGACGATAAGAGATTCGCAAGTCCCACCCCAGAGGTGACCAGCATGAGTGGTTTGTGGGCATCTCAGGCTCCGCCTCTCTTTCTGTCTGTCTGTCCGTCTCTGTTACACGCAGACTCCTTTACACGTGTCTGCCCATTGCAATCACACGTGCATGGGCTAATGGGTGGGGTCCTGGATGCAGCAGGTTCCACGTGTCTCACCTAAGAGGACCCTGATGTCTGTCTGTGGGCACGTGGAGACCTGCACCCACGGCAGCAGCCGCTCGGCTTGCCGCGTCCGTGTGGACCAGGATCGATGGGTCCAACCCTCTCCATGCACGTGGTTTCCAGTTTCTGGCAATTTCACCAGTGCTCTGATGGGTAGTCTCGAAAACACATCTTTTTTGAAAAAATATATTTTTATTGATTTCAGAGAGGAAGGGAGAAGGAGAGAGAGAGAAACATCAATGATGAGAGAGAATCATTGACTGGTTGCCTCCTGCACCCCTCACACTGGGGATCGAGCCCACAACCTGGGCATGTGCCCTGACCAGGAATCGAACCATGACCTCCTGGTTCATAGGTCGACGCTCAAAAATACATCTTTGAAAAATTGTGCAAGAACACTGTGGGGTGGCCTCCTCGGATGGGGCTGCGGGAGGTGCCGCCCATGGGACCTGCGGGCCTGCACTGTCCTCCAGAGGGCCCCGCCCACCTCCCTCCGCACCTGCTGGGGCCTGGGCTTCCTTCGTAGGAAGTGCCCATGTGCCCCTCGGCCTTTTTGAAAACACTGGCTTTCCCGAGTTTTCTGCACACGGGAGGCGCGTGGAGAGGGGGGGAAGAGGAGGTGCACACCTTTCCCTGGAGGGACTTCGTCTGGGATGCTGTTTGTCAGGAGGGGCCGGGACCACCTGCCTCACCTGAGCGGAAGGGCCCAAGGGGCACCCAGGGGAGCGATGGCCCGGCCGCTCCAGGCCCCGTGCCCGGGAGTGGGGCCGGTCTCCCGCTGCCTGTGCCCAGGGCGGAGGTGCCCCAAGGCCTGTGTTGGGGGTGGGGCAGTGCCAGGCCCCCACAGGTTCCCTCCCCAGGACAGAAAAGGGAAGCGCAGTCGGCCCCAGCGGCCATAAAGGTTCCCATCTGGGGGTCCCGAGGGAGCATGGCCCCCAGCCCTCCCCGCGCCCCGGGCTTGCCCCTCAGTTGCGGATTTGCTGATGGTTCTTGGGCACCGCCACGAACCTCAGCTTCCTCATGACGGCCGGCCGGCCCAGCAGCTGCTCGTCCCACAGGTACTCCGGGGACAGCACCTTGGTGGGCTTGCGGTCCAGCAGGTACCGGTTCAGGTGGCTCTCGTCGTGCCAAACGGCCTCGATGCCATTGGCGCGGTCGGCCATCATGGCCTGGTGACAGGCCTTCGTGAGCCGCTGAACCTCGGCCACCGACCCCCCAAAGAAGCCCCCCAAGTAGTAGAAGTCGCCCTGGTCCCGGGGGATGTAGGCCTGGGACTGCGGCCGGCGCTCGTAGGTGAAGGCCTGGCGGGCCGCCCTGTAGAAGCCGGGGTGCAGGGTGCCGAAGAGCGGGGACAGGATCTCCACGCCCACGTGGTCGCTGAAGCGCATGTCCACGTCCACGCACATCAGAAAGTCCACCTCCCGCCGGAAGCGCCGCTCACAGAAGTCGCTGATCATCTGCATGCGGCGCATGGACACGTCCTGCCAGCGCGCGGCGCCCGGGACCTCGAGCACCACCAGGCGGCGGCCCGCCCCCAGCGCCACGCTGGGCACGTCGGCCGGCCGGTCGGTGAAGACGTAGTAGTGGACCCTGTGCCCCACCATGAAGTGCTGCTCGGCCGTCTCCAGGAAGCACTGCAGGAAGACCACGTACCTGCGGGGGCGGGGAGGCGGGGAGGCGGGAGGTCACGGGAGCCAGGCCAGGCCCCACCTGGGCCACGCAGCGCGTGCACCTTCTTCCAGGGACCCACTCCCCTGGCCGCGCCTGAGCGGGAAGCCTTGGCCTCCCTAATCCTCTGCTCCCGGGGATGGGGGGCCGGCAGCACCCCATCATATGGAGGAGGGCTGAGGATCCGGGGGCGGAGCAGGGGCAGCCCCTCGGTGAGTAGAGCTAGACCTGGGTCCCACCTGAGCTGTGCTCCCCTCACCCCCAGGTCCCCATCTCCTGGCTGACCCCATCCCGTTATGCCCTGGACACAGGACAGACGCTCCCTGACCTGCCGCTCCCACCTCCGCTCTCTGCCCTCCGTCCTGCCACCCACTCACTTCTTGATGGCAAACACGGGGAGCCCGACCGTGACGTTCTGGAGCCGGAACTGCTCGTTCAGGATGTCAATGTTGAAGGTCCCCTCCCAGACAATGGGCGCCAGCCACGGGGTCAGGACCAGGACGTCTTTCCTCCTGCGCCGACAGCCCACAGCCACGGTGAGCGGGCGGGAGGGGGACACACTCCGCCTGTGCTCCCTGCCGCCCCGGGCGCCCCACTCGGCCCCACGCCCTCGGCGCCCAGGCGGACCATCCTTCCAGAGGACGTGGCATCGGCAAGCAGCCCGCCTGCTGCCAGTCCAGATGCAAACGTGGGAGATCCCCCCTTACCAGCTCTGCACCCTGAGGACCCGGGGCAGCGGGACCTGCCGGCCAAGGGGACCCCCTGCAGGAAGGCCCACCCTCCAACTGTCTTGGTGAACAGAGGACAGAGAACAGGGGGATGCGCAAGGGGGAGCACAGAGACTCTGTGGGCTCCAGGCTCAGAGCCCAGGCCGCCAGAGCACGGAGGGGCGGAGCCAGGCCCGGGAGCGAGGTCACATCGGGAGAGTGACGCTGAGCTTCAATAAAGGTACTCACGAGGGTGTCAGCGCCATGGGCTGCGGATAAACCATCCTGAAAAACAGCACAGCGCGGCCTGAGTTCGGGGAGACCCGTGGACGTCGCCGGCAGGGCAGGGTGGCTGCTGCGAGTGCCAGGCTGTGCCCTCTCCCCGGACCCGGAGCCCAGGCGCCTCCGCAGGCACCTCGGGGAGGCTGGGCCTCTGCGTGTCGCTTCCCCGCGTGTGCACTGGGCCCTGGATCTAAAGGCCTCGGGCTTTGCCTCCCTCTGACCCGAAGTGACGGGATCCCAGGGTCCCGCCTCGGTTCACTGTGGGCGGGAGGGCCGGGAAGCGCGCTGTGGGTGGGTGGGTGTCCCAGGAGGGAGCTGGCCCAGAGGAACGGCCGTCAGACAGCAAGGGGCTCTGCTGGGCTCTGCTGGGCGACAGGAACACCCTGACGTGGCCGTCACGGGACCAGCTCCAACAGCAGCTGCGGCTCCGTCAGGGGCCACAGCCTGGGCCGTGTGTGCGCAGCGGCCAGTCCCAACCGAAGCCTGTGGAGGCCCGAATGTGGGCCAGCGGGCCGTGGGTCATTGTAAAATGCCCGCCATGTGCGCTCCGGGATGCAGTTAAAGTAGGGCGTCTGCCTGGCTGCTGTGGCTCGGTTGGTTGGAGCATCGTCCCAGGCACCAAAGGGTGGTGGGTTCGATTCCTGGTCAGGGCACCCAGAAGCGGGAGGTCAATACTGAAGGCAGACGTGTGGAGTCAGTCCTGCCCAGGTGACCCTTCAAGGTCAGGGACTTGGCCAAGCTGCTCTGAGTGTGGGGAGAGGGACGAGACAAGAAGGAGGCCCTGACCCACCTATGGGGGGCTGGGTCCTCAGAGCATGGAGCAGTGCCCAGGCTGTCAGGGCACATGTCACTCACTTACCCTTCGCCTTCTGGTCTGGTCTCCAGCATCGGGATTCTTGGGCTCAGGACCCCCATGCTGTGGAAGAGCCCCCCAAAGACCCTTGTTGAGGAGCTGGTCTGGGACGGCCTGTCCACCTCCCCACGCAAAGCAGATGAGCCAGGTCATGACCCCGAGCTCCCCAGAGCAGGGCGGGGGCCAGTCTCCCCAACGCTCAGGTGACCGGTCCCAAGGAGGGGCAGTCACTGCGGCCAGTGCCCCCATGCGAGCCCCTGTGCGGCTGGAGCGGGTCCCGTGCATGGCCGGCTGGTCCGAGGCTGCCCCTGGACGGGTTCCTGCAGGGCCCTGCCCCAGGAGAGCGGCCGTGACCTCACTCCCCGTTCCAGGACCTTCTCCATCTGGGAGCGACTGACAGCGCGGCTTCCGCACTCGCAGCCACGCAGCGGAGGGGTCCTGGCCTCGCCTGACTCCCCACTAGTGACGTGGAGGGAGCACAGCTCACCCACAAGGTGGGGCCTCAGTAGGAGGGAGTGTGACGCCGGGCGGTGGGCCGTGAGGCGGCTGTCACCTGTCCCGTCACTACAGTTGTGATCCCGGGGTGGCAGGATTGGGGGGAACAGCTCAGGGCACCCCACTGGGATCCGATTGGCTCCTGCTGCTGCTTCCCGCAAGCCGGGCAGACCCAGAGGGTCTCGCACGCTTCTTACCCAAAGAGGACGAGTGTGACCAGGAGCAAGGCCAGAGGTCGAAGCGAGCGGCACGTAGGTTTTCCTGGAAAACAGGGTGGAAACCCGGTCACTCTAGCTCAGCGGTTCTCAACCTTCCTAACGCCGCGACCCTTTAATACAGCTCCTCATGTTATGACCCAACCGTAAAATTATGTTCGTTGTTACTTCATAACTGTCATGCTGCTGCTGTTATGAATCGTCATGTAAATATCTGAGATGCAGGATGGTCTTAGGCGACCCCTGTGAAAGGGTCGTTCGACCGCCAAAGGGGTCGCGACCCACAGGTTGAGAACCGCTGCTAGCTGCTCCTGCCTCCGAGCCCTCCTCTGTCTCGCTGTGCTGGGGACCCTGGCCCGGCCCCACCAGGAGAGCCGCCCCTCACAGGGCGAGTTTGGAGCAAAACTGGAGCCCCTTTAAGACCCAGTCCAATCCCGACGTTTGTCCGTCTCCTTCAGAGGGGCCCACAGTTCTTCCTCCCAGCACCCCCCAAGGGGCCCCCAATTCCCAGATACCCGGCCTCCCCAGGCCTCTTTCCACTGAGCCCCCCCTTTCCTCGAAGACCGACATGACCCCAGGGGTCAGGAGGATGGCCGCTGCCCCCCACCCTCCCAGCGGGGGGGTGGGGGGGTGCTGGAAAGAATTTCCTTTCAGTTTTGAAAATACTATTCCATGTTTCCTTTTAAAAACATTCAACATACACACTTATCTGAGGTATCATTTATAGCCGATAAAACGTATGCATTTTAAGTACGGAGGTTGATGAGTATTTAACAATGTGTACACGTGTGTAACCACTGCCCCAGCCAAGCCAGATGCACAAGTTCCCTCCTGTCCCTGCGCAACAAATACCCCCCACTCCCCGCCCCGCCCCGCCCCAGGCAACCGCTAACCTAACCGGCTTCCCTCACAGGTTCCCCCGCAGCGCAGTGTCTGAACGTGATCAGATAAACGCGCTCCTGCCTGGCGTTATTCACACACCGTCTTTAAGATTCTTCCTGCTGTCGCCTGCACCAGGAGTTGGTCCTGGGCCTCTGGGAGCAGGCCCAGGTCAGCCGCTGCCTGTGCCCGCCCGGGGCCACTTGGTAGGAGCTGCAGAGTGCTCTGTGGGGCAGCTGCCTGAGCTGGGAGAGGCTGTGCTGTGACAGGTGCTGGGCGTGGGGTTGCTTAGCAGGAGGCACAGGCAGGCTGAGGCCGGACGCTGCTGGTTTGGGGCTTTTTGAACCTTTGAGAGACTTTTAGAAAAGTCCACAGGGCCGGCCCAGGCCTGTCTTGCCAACCATTTAGACAACCCAGAGGAAATGCACGCGTGGTTGGAAGACTCACACTAGAAGGGAACAGGACTACATGGTTGGGACACGGGTTTAAGCAAAGAATTCTTACAGATGACACCGAAAGCAAAAACAATAAGAGAAGAAAAAAGTTAAAGAGGAGTTAATCGAAATGACAGCTTTTGGACGGGGGGGACTGGATGACAGGTGAAGAGAGCAGCCGAAGGACATATATGTGCAACCAATGGACACAGACAACAGTGGGGTGATGGCCAGGGGCGGGGGTGGGGGCTGAGTGGAGGTGGGGAAAGGGGGAGGAATGGTGGGCATCTGTAATAGTGTCAACAATAAAAGCTTTTTAAAAACTTTTGCACTTCAAATACACCATTAAGAAAGTGAGCCCGGCTGGCGTGGCTCAGTGGTTGAGCGTCCACCTATGAATCAGGAGGTTGGGGTTTGGTTCCCAGTCAGGGCACATGCCGGGGCTGCAGGCTTAATCCCCAGTAGGGGGCGTGCAGGAGGCAGCCGATCAATGATTCTCGCTCATCATTGATGTTTCTCTCTCTCTATCCCTCTCCCTTCCTCTCCAAAATAAAAAAATAAACCCTAAAGCGTAGAAACAACCAAAATGCCCATCAATGGGTGATAAACAGACAATGGTACCCATACAATGAGATCATTCAGCAATAAACATGAATGCAATGCTGATACACGCTACGACCTTGCAAACGTGCGTCTAAGAGAAGGAAGTCAGAAGCAAAAGACCACATATGCCTTGAGATGAACATATGATGCATGTGCGAGTCCAGAAAAGGTAAAGCTGTAGAGACAGAAAGTGGCTGAAAACAGGCACTAGAGAATTAGGGCGCTGAAGGGGAAATTCTAAAATGTATTACACATATCTGTAAATTGACTAAGCACAATTTAATATTACACATAAAACAGGTAAATGTTATGGCATATAAATGTTTTCAATACAGTTATTTTTTAAAAGTGCCACCAGAACCTAGCCGGTTTGGCTCAGTGGATAGAGCGTTGGCCTGCAGACTGAAGGGTCCCGGGTTCGATTTCAGTCAAGGGCACATGCCTGGGTTGCAGGCTCCCAGCCCGCATTGGGGGCATGCGGGAGACAACCTGATGGGGAGCATAAGACATTTTGGGGGCTAGCAATCTGAATTTGTCCCGGTAAGCTGCTTTCTACTGCACTCTCTTGCTAGCCGAAAATTAACTCCATTTGTGAAAGAAGGTAGGAGGCCCTGTACCTAAGTTAATCAATGCCCCTAATGCACATTCCTGAAGTCACTGGCCCTTCCTTAATTATCTGGTCCTGCAAGAGCTGTTTATCTAAATACTCTAATTTACAAGGACCACAAACCATGGATGTAACAGCTTAGCTAGAGGGAGGTCACTGGCGCCATCGCCATCGAGGATGGACAATAGCTACAATCTAAGTTAACCATCCAACTGGCTCTTGGGGGCGGCGGCGGCGGGGGGGGGGGGGGGGGGGCTGTGAGAGTCCACTGCAGAAGAAACAAAGGAACTCAGGGATATATAAAGAGAAAATCTCATTGTCCACGTGGTGCAGGATCTGTCCCCTGAACCAGCAGCGCTGCTTTGAATACAGGCTTTTCCTGAACCTCAGAGTGTCCAACAGTCTCTTCTGTGCCAATTCCATATTCCATAAAACCAAACGATGTCTCTCACATCGGTGTTTCTCTCTCTCTCTCTCCCTCTCCCTTCCACTCTCTCTAAAAATCAATGGGGAAAATATCCTCGGGTGAAGATTAAAAAAAAAGTGCCACCAGTAGGAGCTCATTGGCCCTAGGCTAACGGAAGAGAGAAGCAGGAGTGTTCGGTGTAGGGCTCAGTAAAGACGGACTTGAAGTTCTGCTTGTGATTCCGCGTGAGACTCTGCCCCACTCGTTCCCCCCAGACCTGCCACAGCCAGAGAGCTCCCCCTCTTCCTCCGCAGCCTCCAGGGCAGCCAGCCCGCCTGGCCTCCCCCGCCCCCCCAAAGCGGAGGTGAGGCCTCTGCACTATTTTATGCCCTCCTGAACCCAACCCCAAAGTTCTGTCCTCAAATGTGAACACAGGAACTGAGCTGAATGAATGGGCCATTTGTCCCCTGTGGCCTCCTGGGTCCCGGTTCTCTGGCCCATTCCCAGCCTGACAGTGGCACCCTGTGCCCACGTGAGTGTCTGCTCTCCGGGCACAGCTCCCACTGCGCACTAAGCATGCCAACTCTGCCAGGCGACAGCAGGTGTGCAGGTGACTGGTGACTAAGGCAAAGGGGCAGGACTGGGAGGGGGGGGCAAGAGCGGCCCCAGGGCCTTCTGGAGGGGAAGGGAGCGCCCACCAGGGGTCAGCCTCCGGAATCCCAGTTCAGGGAGAGAAAGGCCAGGGTGTGTCAGGGAGGGGTGGGAGCCCAGGAGGCGTGGCTCAGTGGTTGAGCAACGACCTCTATAAACCAGGAGGTCCTGGTTTGATTCCCGGTCAGGGCACATGCCGGGGTTGCTGGCTCGACCCCAGTATGGGGCGTGCAGGAGGCAGCCATCAATGATTCTCTCTCATCATTGATGTTTCTATTTCTCTCGCCCTCTCCCTTCCTCTACGAAATCAATTATATATTTTAAAGAGAGAGGGTGTGGGAGATTCCTGGAGACGGATGCGCTGACCGCAGGGCCACCGGACCTAGCCAAGACCAGAGGACCAGGACCCGGAGGCCAGCCGGCCGCCGCCCCCAGGCAGTGCGAGCCCGCCCGCTCTGCTTGCTGGGTCCCGAGCACCCGGGCTCCCAACGGGGCTCAGCGATCGGGGTGCCCGGTTCCCCCGTCAGGACTCTTCCCGCCCAGGCATCGCGGGGCGCTGGGGCCGCCACTCACCCGCCTGCGCCCGCAGCAGCTGAGCCATCCCGGAGCCCCAGGGCGGCGCCTCGGTCCCTCCGCGCTGCCTGGGCGCCCGCCCTCCGAGGCCTGTGAGAACGATGCCGCGGCCCCGGCGGCCACGCGCGCCCGCTCCCCTCGAGGCTGGGACTCTCGGGCGCCCCACCCCGCAAAGTGACAGCGGGGGTCGGGGGGACGCGGAGGGTCCGGAGAGGAAAACCTGGGTCCGGAGGGCCCCGGCCAGGTGGAGGGGCGGGGCCTCCTCAATCGGCACCAATGAGGCCGCGCGCCCCTCCCAGCCCCGCCCCCTCTCCGCCCCCGGACGCCCCGCCCCGCGCCCCGGCTGGGAGCAGCCACCTGTCCCCGCCCCCGACGCTCCGCCCCGCCCCCTCTCCGCACCCGGACGCCCCGCCCCGCATCCCGGCGGGGAGCAGCCACCTGTCCCCGCCCCCGACGCTCCGCCCGCCCCCTCTCCACCCCCGGACGCCCCGCCCCGCACCCCGGCGGGGAGCAGCCACCTGTCCCCGCCCCCGGACGCCCCGCCCCGCACCCCGGCTGGGAGCAGCCACCTGTCCCCGCCCCCGGACGCCCCGCCCCGCACCCCGGGGGGAGCAGCCACCTGTCCCCGCCCCCGGACGCCCCGCCCCGCACCCCGGCGGGGAGCAGCCACCTGTCCCCGCCCCCGACGCCCCAGCGCAGTCCTCGGGTTCCACCTGCAGAGCCGCGCCCCGCCCTGGCTCCCGGGGCTCGCACCGGTCCGAGCCTCCACAATCCGCCTCCCCAGGCTCGCCCCGAGGTGGAGTCCCCGGCTTCGCCCCCTGGGCCCCTCGCTGTCCCGGGACCCGGTGGAGCGCCTGCTCCCTGCCCTCGGGCTGCGCCCGGCCTGCGGGGCCTCTGACCGGAGGTGGCGGCCGCCCAGGCGGAGGTCGGGGAGGAAGGGGCATCCTGGGGGCGGGCGGGAGGACCGTGAGAGCCTCCCTTCCCCTCCCTCCCCTCCCCTCCCCTCCCCGCCGGCTCCGGCGCCTTTCCCGAGGCTTCGCCATGCTCTTCCGGGCGCAGCCAGGAAGTGCTAGTGACCCCGCTCCTTTCCAGAGGAGGAAACTGAGGCAGGGCCGGGAGGCGAGGTCAGGTGTGGTGCTCAAGTTCGCATTCCTACCTCCCCCGCCTCCACTCACGTTCTCTGCATCTGCCCTGGGCGCACCGGGCCCGCAGGAGCCTAGTCTCCGGGGCCCGGTGCTCCCCTTCCTCCCCAAGCCCCTCCCGCCTCTCCTGCCCCCGGTTACCGGCTGAGGACCAGGTCCCCTCCCGCAGGAAACCAACCAGGGTGGGCCCCTGGGACTCTGTATCCTGAGGAAGAGAGGATGCCCCTCCCTCCCCCAGGAGCAAGGGCTGCGTCCTGCTAGGGGTCCCCAGCCTGCAGGGAGCTTCTGGGGAGGATACGCCTCACTCCCTGGTTCTTGGCAGGGCCCTGCTCTGCTGAATGAGTCACGGGAACCGTTGTCACGCTCCGTTATGCCGGGCATTGGCTTAGTGCTTTTCCTGTAGGAACTCATTCATCTCCACCTGACCCCTGCCTTTAAGAGGAACAGGGCTCCGGCCCGTGGGCTGGCTCGGTGGTTGAACTTCGTCCTGTGAACCAGGAGGTCAGGCTTGGATCCCTGGTCAGGGCACATGCTGAGTCGCCGGGCTCCATCCCCAGTAGGGGGCGTGCAGGAGGCAGCCGATCAATGATTCTCATCATTGATGTCTCTCTCTCTCTCTCCCTCTCCCTTCCTCTCTGAAATCAATAAACACATATATTTTTAAAAAGGTACAGAGCACAGAGAGGGGCAGGGACTGCACAAGGTGTGCAGAGAGCCAGGATTTGGACCGGAGAGCTGGCCTGGAGGCCACCCCACCGTCCGCCAACCCAATTCTTGTCCAATCTTATGGCTCTCAAAAAAGCTGCACTAAGACTACCCCGCTCGCCCTCAGCCCCAGCTGTGCACCCCAGCGCTGGCTGGGCCTCGGGGCAGCTTCTGTTCGGGTGTATTGAGAACTGGGAAGGGCCTGAGATTTGACCCCACTTGCCAACTAACAACCTAGCCTGCCACCATGCCCTCTGGGCTGGCAGGAGACAGGGCTCCGGGTCAGAGACCAGGGACTCTATTGGCTGCGCGGCAGAAAGCACAGCCTCGCGACCCCAGGGCGTCCCGTGCCCGGAGCCCCAGGAACCTTGCTCTGGCCTCTGCCTGCGCCACCTGAGCACTGAGTCTGTGGAGCGGGCACACGGGTCTCAGGGCGCAGAGCCCATCCGCCCGCCGGCCGAGCGGGGTGTGTTCTGCTGGCCGCATTCACACTGTGCCTGTGGGAGTCCCGTGAGCGTCTGCGGGGAGAATGCGTGGGTGAGCGCCAGCCGCACAGGGTCGCCCTCCTTCTGTCCCCCCCACCTCCATCTTAAGAACCCACTGATCTTTTTTCTGTCTCCATAGTTTCGCCTCTTCCAGAATGTCATAGAGTTGAAATCATCTAGTATGATTTTTAGGTAAACGTCGTTCACCTAGTCATGTGCATATAAGGTTGTTCCATGACTTTCCATGGCTTGGAGTTCATTTATTCTCAGTGCTGGACAGGCCACCAGGCCACCGTCAGTACACCCTGCAGTTTACCTAGTCACCACTGACGGACATCTTTTTTGTTTTTGTTGTTAATCTCCATCCGAGGATATTTGTCCATTGATTTTTAGAGAGAGCAGAAGGGAAAGAGAGAGACAGAAACATCAATAGGAGAGAGACGTATCGATTGGTTGCCTCCTGCACGCACCCGGACCAGGGCCGGGGAACCTGCAACCAAGGGTAGGCTGGTACGTGCCCTTGACCAGAATTGAACCTGGGACTCTTCAGTCCGCAGGCGGATGCTCTATCCACCGAGCCAAACTGGCTAGGGCTGAAGGACGTCTTGAAGGCCTCCAGGTGTTGGGCAGTTATAAATAAAATGTCTATAAACATCCCTGGGCAGGTAAATGTTTTTTTTTTTTTAAACATACTTTTATTGATTTTAGAGAGGGAGAGAGAGAGAGAGAAACATCAATGCTAAGAGGGAATCATTGATCTGCTGCCTCCTGCGGGCCCCCCACTGGGGATCGAGCCTGCAACCCCGGCATGTGCCCTTGATTAGAATCGAACCCGGGACCCTTTAGTCCGCAGGCCAGCGCTCTATCCACTGAGCCAAACCAGCTAGGGCGGCAGGCAACGGTTTTCAGCTCCTTTAGGTAAATGCCAAGGAGCACCACTGCCTGATCCTATGGTAAGAATTTGTCCACTTTGGGAAGAAACCGCCAAACTTTTTTTCTCCAGTGGAGGTTCCATGCGGCATTCCCACCAGCTACGGCTGAGAGTGCCTGGAGCCCGTCCTCCACAGCCGGGCCAGCATTCGGCGCCGGCTCGGGGCCTGGGCCAAGGAGGACCGACCCCAACGGAGAGGCAGGCGACGCCCAGCGGCTTTTCTCCCGGTGCTCCGATGCTCTTCTGCACACATTAACGTCCCCCCCCCCCGCACCTCCATCGTTGCTTCTCAGGCCTGGCCCTGAGTTCCCGGACCGCGCTTCTCGCCTGGAGCCCGGCCTGGGAGGGCGCAGACCAGACAGGCAGTGGCGAGCACAGCCCAGCGGAGCCCGCGCGCGGGAGGCCGGGGCGGGTCTGCGGCCGTGGGAGGAGCGGCGGCCGTCGGGCGGGGCGCGCGGGCTGGTGGGAGGGGCTGCGTCCGCAGGAGGGACGAGCCGCTCGCTGACCCACCCGGCCCCGCCCCCGGCAGCCGGCCCTCTGTCCGCCCATCGGCGCTCCGCCCCGGGCGCCCGGGGCCACGGGGTCATGCGGGGGGGCCCAGGCGAAACGAGCCGAGCCGAGCCTGCTCTCCAGGTCCGGGTGAGCCCCCGCGTCCGTCCTAACGCCGGTCTGGCCACTAGGGGTGAGTGTGCACCCCGCGGGGACCGTGTGCTCCCTCCGCCCCACCCTGTGCGCGCCCCGCGCCCGCACGGACTGGCGGAAGTCGAGGTGCGCGCTCGGCCCAGGCTCCTGGGGGCGCCCCGGGCTGGGGCGGACTGGGCTCTGGCCGGGCTCTGCGTCAGCGGAGCGGCCCCGGCGTCCTGGGCCCCGCGGGTGGCAGGGTCTAGCGGAGCCGAAGAGGAGGCGGGGGCTTGGAGGACGCTGCGCGCCCTGGCCGCGTGGGAACCGAGGCCCGCGGAGGGAGGCAGCGGGAGCGGGCCACCGAAACTCCAGCTCCGGGATCTTTCTCCGACCTCGGGCGGACCCCCGCCGGGCTCCCTGGGTCCCTGGGTCGCTGTGACCCGCGCCGAGCCCAGCGCTTTAGCCCTTCCCCGCGCGTCACCCTCAGGGGCGGGGCGTGTTGTCCTTCCTCCCCGCCGACCCAGTCCCTTCACCCGGGAGATCCCCGAGGCTGCGTGCGGCGGCCAGAGTGACTTGTCACGTTGCTGAGCCAGTGAGGGCTGGAGCGGCCCCGCGGCCCCTGCAGGGACCGGGCCTCGCCTCCCGGAGGAATGCGCTGCTGCACCCCGCCCGCCGCCCGGGAATCGCGGACGTGTGCGGGCTGTGCGGGCTCCGGGTCCTCGGGGTTGCTCTCTGGGATGCTTCTCCAAGTCCTGCCCAAACGCCCGGCTCTCGCGCTGTCGCCCCACTCTGGGGGTCTCTTCTCCCCGTCGCGGGAGGAGTTTTGAGGGAGACCCGAGAGCCCAGGCTGGCACAGCTGCAGGCTCAGCTGAGCGCTGAGCTCCTGAGGGCTGGCGCCTGGGGTCCACATTCCCCTGGCGGGCCGCGGGGGTGGGGTTGGGGGGGAGTAGAGAGGGGAGGAGGGGGCAGGGCCACCAGGATGGGCACTGCCTCTGAGTAAGGAACTTCTTTGCAGGTGTTCCCGCAGGACACAGGCTCTGAGAGAGGAGGGCTGATCGGCTCAGCACACCCACCCCCCGCAGGTGCCTAGAGGGTGCGGCACCGGCCATGCGCTGCCGCAGACTGGCCCTGGGCCTGGGCCTCTGCCTGCTGGTGGGCGCGGCCCTCTGCGCTCTGTGGTGAGCATGCCCAGGGCGCCCTCCAGCCCCACCTCAGACTCCTCTCTTGGCATCTCAGCCCCCAAACCTGACCCGTTCAGGGCATGCCCACCTCTCCCGGCACAGCTGTCCCCCAACCCCAGGAAGACCCAACGAGGCTTCTAGATTTTGCCTGGGACTGGCCTCCTGGCCTTAGCACGTGCTCTTCCCTCTGCCTCGCTGTCCTTCTAGCCCCGTTGACCAGGAACTCCTGGTGATGCTCCCAGTTTGCTCTGTGCGTTCCTGGGCTGCCCCTCACCACACCGGCCTCCCTCGTGTGTGCAGGGCTGGAGTCAAGAACACCCCTGCCCCAGGGATGAATGACTTCAGGGGTGACTAGTGCCTGCATGCTGGACGACCAGGAGGCCTTGTCCCTCGCGGTCAGCCAGACCAAGGCGCCATGGGGACCGCAGATGCTCCCCGGGGCCTTTGCTCCCCCCACCAGTGTGCACCAAGGGGGTTCCAGCCTCTGGGCCCTCGAATCAGCGGTGGTTTTCCTTCCCAGGGTATATGCCGACGACTTGCTGCCGTTCTCCTATGTCCCCTATTACCTCCCCTGCCCAGAGATCTTGTAAGTACGGGGCTGGGAGAACTGGGGGCCCGGAGGGCTGCACGGAGTGGGGGAGATGGGGGTTTTTAAGGCCATCTGTCTGCAGGGTCTTGGGTCCTAAGCTCACAATCAGTGTGATGAGTGTTTGGTAAAATATGGGCTGCCCTGTTTCAGTGTCTGTCCCTGCAACACCCCCTCCGCAGCCAGGCCTTGAGCATGTTGCGTAGCTCCGAGCCTCACTTGCCGCATCTTTAAGATGGGATGGTCCAGGTGCCCCTCACGGCTCCTGGGGTCTCGGAGTGCCAAGGTGCCTGAGTAGCCTGGGGTGGCACCGGCCTCCGAGTGGGCGCCCAGGAAACGGTGCTCTGAGGACTTGGCCATTTTGCTCAGCTCTGTTCTCTGTGGACTCAAGGAGCAAATTAACATGTGGCCGAAGTCTGGCGCCCGTTACACACCTGACTCTGACAGCTCACAGCGCAGAAGTGGGTTGGGACGGAGTCCCGGGGGCATCCGGCCCCCGCCTTGTGTTCCATGACAACTAAAGGGAAGTTTAAAATCTGAGCACAGACTATTGAGGAACAAGGCGTGTTTTATTATCATGAAAACATGAATATTGCACGGCCAGGGGGCTCGGTTGGAGGGTCGTCCCTGACACCAAAAAGGTTGTGGGCTCAATTCCCAGTCAGGGCACATAACTAGGTCGTGGGGGTTCAATCCCGGGACTGAGTGCGCGGGAGAGGCAACTGATCGATGTTTCTCAGGCCGATGTTTCTCTCTTCTTCTCTCTAAAATCAGTAAGAACAGCACTGGCAGGTGTGGGTCAGTAGTTAGAGCATGGGCCCTTGCACCGAAGGGCTGCAGGTTTGATCCCCGGACCGCCAGGGCTTGTGTGGGAGGCCACTAATCAGTGTGTCTCTCTCTCCCTATCCCCGCCCCCCTTCCCCTCCTACCGTCCTTTTCTCTAAAAAATCAAAGCAAAATATATCCCCTGGTGAGGATTAAGATAAATAATAATAAAGTAAAACCAATACACACATGTCCTCAGGTGAAGATTAAAAACATTTTAAGCACAGAATATAGTAAATTAGGAAGCTGGAAAGCAGAGAAGACTTAGAAGCAGCTCTGGTGGGTCCCACTGACCTGAATTTTGCTCCCGTTTCAAAGTTCGCTGTGGCGTGTTGCTTGCCGTGCTTTCTAAAGGATCAGATTGGGCATCTAGTTGGTTCTGAAAGCAGAAAGGCTCCTTGCCGTTGAAAATGGTTGTGGCCTCAGATGACAGCCGGTGGAACGGGAGCGGTAAACGGAACCTCCCACAAAGGGATGCCCGCGCCGGCCGCACAGGTGAACTTCACCAAACATTCACAGGACGAACACGCCTTAAACCAGCCCAGCAAACTCAAGAGGAAACACTCCCACGCTCACCTTCCGAGGCCAGCGTAGTCCTAATTCCAAACCAGATAGAGACACAACAAAGAAAGAAGTACAGGTCTATATCCCCGATAAGCATAGCTGCAAAAATTCTAAACAAAACAGTCACAAACCGGATCCAGCACTATATTAAAAAGATCATACACCACGATCAAGTGGGATTTACTGCGGGATGCAAGGCGGGTACAGTATTAAAAACAGGAACGTTGTGATCGTAATGTTTTTGCGATTTTGTCCTGTTTCCCGGAAGTGGCTTTATTTTCCGGCCTGTGCTTGTCCTCTTCGGGGTCCCCGCCAGTTCATTCCACTGGGGCCCGGTTCCCGTTTCCCCAGTGTGCTGCATGAGTTCGTAATGAGCAGCCTTGGATATAAAGCCTTTGCCGTATTCAAGGTCCTTTTGTTTGATGTGTTCCCTTCCTGGGCCAGAGGACATGGAGAGGTTCTTGTTTTAATATATTTTGATTTTTTTTACAGAGAGGAAGGGAGAGGGATAGAGAGTTAGAAACACCTATGAGAGAGAAACATCAATCAGCTGCCTCCTGCACACCCTCTACTGGGGATGTTGCCCACAACCAAGGTACATGCCCTTGACCGGAATGGAACCCGGGACCCTTCAGTCTGACACTCTATCCACTGAGCCACACTGGATATGGCCAGGGCACACCCCACACCCCCTGACACTGCCCCTGGGCCCCTACTGGCAGGACCAGGAGCTAGAAAAACTAAGACCAGCCCTCCCCCCAGCTCCCCATGTCTTGGGTGGCTCCCAGGCCTCTTTCCCACAGGCCTCCATGGGTCCCCTTTCCGCTCCCAGCCCCCCTCTCCCTTTGGCCCGCCTGCGGTCCCGTCATCACCCTTGGCCGAGCATTTTTGCTGTGTTTTTTTCTTTCTCCGGTTTGTCCATCTTTGGGTTTTACCGAGTTATTTTTCTGGACACCAACCACCCTGCCACTCGGTGACCCTGCAGAGCGGGCAGAGCCGCGGGGAAGGTTCCGGATTGTGCCAGCCCCGTGGGTGCTGGGTTAGCCTCAGCTTCAGTCTGCCACCGCCTGGCACTGACGGCTCTCGCCTCTGCCCACAGCAACATGAAGCTGCAGTTCCGGGGGGAGAAGCCGTTCCAGCCCGTGGCACGGTAAGCACACTGTCCTCCCCGCTTTGTGGCCCAGGGGGTGGGGGTGGGGGTGGGGGGCACCTCCCTCACCACTGGCCCTTCTCGGTCGCAGGTCGCAGTACCCTCAGCCGAAGCTGCTGGAGCGGAGGTGGGTGCAGCCTGGAGCCCGGCGATGAAAGGGGGGGGAGCTTTGTAGTTACTACCGTCCCCCTCTTCCACCTGGGATGCTGAGGCCCGGAGACAGGGACGAAGCCGCCGGGGTTCCATGGCGTGGGTGGCAGGGCCAAGGTGAGCCCGCGGTGCTCACGGGGAGGGACCACCCCACTGCCAGGCCCACAGAGCTGCTGACGCTCACGCCCTGGCTGGCGCCCATCGTGTCCGAGGGGACCTTCGACCCGGAGCTCCTGCAGCTCATCTACCAGCCGCTGAACCTGACCATCGGGCTCACGGTGTTCGCCGTCGGGAAGTGAGTCGGGGCGGGTGGGGGAGGGGTGGTCCTCTCTGAGCCACGGGAGCTTCCAGTCTGGGGTGAGGCAAGGCCTGGACGCAGCAGCCCACGCAGCCTCCCTGAACCAGGTGTTGCGCAGGGGGCTGGTGGACAGGGCTTCCTGGAGGAAGGGGAGGGGGCAGCCCCGGGGAGGGAACCGCAGAAGCCCGTGTCAGAGGCCCCTCACCCCTCTCCGCTTCTCCTAGACAGTCAGGCAGGCAGGAAGGAGTGGAAACCCCCTAGACCACCCCATAGAAGTGGGGGTCCATGTCCAGGCCACCAGCAGGTCCAGAGACCCACGCTGAGCCGGCCCCGCCCTCAGGCCCCTCTCTTCCCCACCCTCTGCTGCCTGCTCTCTGGGTTTCTCCTATTCTCCTCTCTCCTCCCACGTGGCTTTTCCTGTAAGAGCCACCACCTGGCAGCTTCCCTCTGGGTCCCTTGCTAGGACTCGTGAGAGAGGGACCGTGATGGGCCCCTATGGCCGAAAGTGCTGGCCAGATGGTGGGTGAGCCCTGGTCCAATCAGCTGTGGCCTGGAGGGGGGAGCCCTGTCGTTGCACCTGCCCTGGGCCCCCAGCCCCACTCACCTTCCCTTGAAGCAGCCACTGCCCTGCTTGGTCCCTTTCCCCTCTCCGTGACGCAGCGTCTCTGCCTGTTCAGTGGGTGACGGTGGAATCCCTCAGACCCGCTGGCACCGAGAAAGTGCTCAGTAAGAGGCGGGCTTGTGATGCGACCGTCAGCGCCTCAGGCATTCTGCAGAGGCAGGTGCTATGATGGTGGCATTTGACAGACGAGGACCCCGAGGGTCAGAGTGAGTGACAGGGCACAGTGGGGAGCGGAGAGGTGCCAGCACGCGTGGGGGCCTGGGCAGGGCGCTGTCGGGCCACCGGGATGACAGGCTCTTGCACCAGGTACACGGGCTTCGTCCAGCACTTCCTGGAGTCGGCCGAGCAGTTCTTCATGCAGGGTCACCGGGTGCACTACTACGTCTTCACCGACAAGCCCGCGGCCGTGCCCCGGGTCCCGCTGGGCCCCGGCCGCCTCCTCAGCGTCCTGCCCATCCAGAAGCACTCCCGCTGGGAGGAGATCTCCACGCGCCGCATGGAGACCATCAGCCAGCACGTCGCCCAGCGGGCGCACCGGGAGGTGGACTACCTCTTCTGCGTGGACGTGGACATGGTATTCCGGAACCCCTGGGGCCCGGAGACCTTGGGAGACCTGGTGGCCGCCATCCACCCCGGCTACTACGCCGTGTCCCGCCAGCACTTCCCCTACGAGCGCAGGCATGTTTCCACCGCCTTTGTGGCCGATGGCGAGGGGGACTTCTATTATGGCGGGGCGGTCTTTGGGGGACGGGTGGACAGGGTGTACGAGTTCACGAGGGGCTGCCACATGGCCATCTTGGCGGACAAGGCCAACGGCATCATGGCGGCCTGGCAGGAGGAGAGCCACTTGAACCGCCGCTTCATCTCGCACAAGCCCACCAAGGTGCTGTCCCCTGAGTACCTCTGGGACGACAGGAAGCCCCAGCCTCCCAGCCTGAAGCTGATCCGCTTCTCGACGCTGGACAAGAACACCCACTGGCTGCGGAGCTGATGGTAGAGTCGGGGCTGCCGTGGATGGGGACTCAGTGGAGCACCCAGCAGCCCCAGGGAGCACATAGCTTACTCCAGAGGAGCACCCAGCAGCCCCAGGGAGCACCCAGCTTACTCCAGAGGAGCACCCAGCAGCCCCAGGGAGCACCTAGCTTACTCCAGAGGAGCACCCAGCAGCCCCAGGGAGCATCTAGCTCACCCCAGAGGAGCACCCAGCTCACCCCAGAGGAGCACCCAGCTCACCCCAGGGAGCACCCAGCAGCCCCAGAGGAGCACCAAGCAGCCCCAGGGAGCACCCAGCTCACCCCAGGGGAGCACCCAGCAGCCCCAGGGAGCACCCAGCTTGCCCCAGAGGAGCACTCAGCAGAGCACCCAGCTTGCCCGTCAGTGCCTCACTTCCCATGCCTTAGCTGAGACCTGCCCTGCCCGGCCTGCCTCCCTGTCAGGAAAATCCAACGGGAAAGAGCCGGGAATGGCCTTTATACACCATAAAGGGCTGTGCCCACATGAGAACGCAAACCTCGAATGTCGCCTAAGAGGGGGACAGGGAGGGGAGACTAGTGGTGAAGAGGGCAGGCCCAGAGGCTCCCACAGACGTGCCTTCGGCGGCTCTGCAGCCTGCCCTGCTCAGCGCCTGCGTTCCCACCCCTGCCCCCTTTTGCTGCCTGTTGCCCTTCGAGCTCACTTGTCACTGCTGGTTGTGAAGGGCACCCAGGTCCCCTTTTTCCCCGGCCGCAGGGCTCCCGGCACTGCGATGTCCCCCAGCCAGTCCTCACTCAGGACCCCCTCTGGTTTCCAGTCCAGCTGCACTCACTCCCCATGCGGCCTCCCTGGCCCTGCCGCCTCTTTTGTAAGGAGGCTGGGGCAGTTTTCATATAGGTGGAGCCTGCTGGGCCCTAACCAGGGCTTCCCACCTGTGCATCTGAGAGCACCTTTGTCGCAGAGAGGAGCGATGGAGGGCAGGAAGGGGTGCGCACCAGCCACATCCGGATGGGCACCCACCCTGGAGAAGCTGGGTGCCAGCCTGGAGCCCCCTCCTCCTGCAGCACACGGTCTGGCTGGTGATCGCCAAGGTCGAGCAGACCGAGGGACCAGTATGAGGAGAAGCCTGGGCTGGCGAGGCCCTGGGGTGCTTCCGAGGCAAAGGGACAGGGTGGGCCCGTGGCCCGTGTGTCCCCGGGGAGGCAGGTCTGAAGCAGGGCTGTGGAAGGAGCAGGCCCTGCCCACTGCGGGTCCGAACCCCGGCCAGTCTGACCCCAGCGGCTGTGCCTGCCCCGGAGCCCGAGCCCAGCCTTGATTTTGTAATCTGTCCCTCGCTTACAGTGCGTCTGCCACTTGAAAACTTCAGAACCACCCGGCCAGTGTGGCTCAGTGGTTGAGCATTGACCTATGAACCAGGCAGTCACGGTTTGATTCCTGGTCAGGGCTCATGCCGGGCTGTGGGCTCGATCCCCAGTAGGGGCGTGCAGGAGGCAGCCGATCAGTGATTCTAGCTCATCATTGATATTTCTCTCTCTCTCCTTCTCCCTTTGTCTCTGAAATCAATAAAAATATATATTAAAATTTTTAAAAATAAACTTCAGAAACCCCAAACTGATCTGTCCTGGCAAGATTGGTACCTGCAGTTCAGATCTGAGCCTGTCAGAAGGGCTGCTGGGCTGTCTCCAGGCTCTCCTGCTCCCCGCTGGGTCAGGCTGGGCCTCACCCCACCCCCTCATCCTTCCCGTCCATGGAGCACCCCGGCCAGCACCCTCAGCTCCTTTGAGGGGAGAGCCTGGACCCTGGTTAGGTCCCAGGAGTTGGGTTCTGTCACTGGTATCTCAGGGCCATGCCCTGGGATGGGGACCAGGGTCAGCCAGTCCCCAGGGGCGTGAGACCCGGCTGGGAAGTCTCCGGGTCTGAGGGGCACCGGGCCCAAAGCTGAGCTGGGAGTGGGGCTGGCTCAGGGCCACCTCCTCCCGGGCCTTCCCTGGCCAGGGAGCCCCAACAGAAGACAAGGTCAGCCCAGGCTCAGGGCTGCAAAGAGCAATGATTCTGACCGCCCCCCCACCTCTTCACAGCTGGAGTTGGTCAATCAGAGCTGAGAGGTCCTAAGTACTGGGGCCACTGCTCATCTATAAAGTGGGTGAAAGCACTGAGGGTCCAGGGGGCTCCCCAATAACAGTAACTACCCCCAGCACTGGCCCATCTCGGGTGGAGCTCTCTCCACAGCCGCGCAGCCCTCTCACTCCGGCCAGGGCTCCACAGCGACCAGATGGACCACCGTCTGGGGTCCTGCCAGGAAGAAAGCGGAGGGGTTCAAGGAAAGGTAGAAGGGGCGGCCTCACCTGGCTGCCTCCTCGTGTCCATTCCCATTCCAGGTCCCCTGGACCAGCCATCCACCCAACTACCTCTGCAGGTGGCAAATGGGGACCAGGACGACAGGATGGGGGTGTCCCTGCGATGACTCCCGTGTCCTCAGGTCTCCATGCCTACCGGGCCCAACACCGGCGGACTCGGCCCGGTTGGGTTTGGGGTGGTCGGAGGTCTTAAGGGGGCGCAGGGAGCACGCGGCGGGCTGCGAGGGCGGGAGGCGCGGGACCGCCGAGCAGAGTCCTGGGTGCGCGGCGCGCGCGGCGAGGCGGGGCTCCTGGGTGCGCGCGCCCGCGGCGGATCGCAGGCCCCGCGGCGCCCGAGTCCACGGCCCGAGGGAGGCTGTGCGCGCGCCCGAGCTCGCGCGGGTCCGCCCCTCACACCTGCGGCGGGCGGGGCGGGGCCTGGCTGACCCCGCCCACCCGGCGGCGGCCCGGAGCCGGGCGGAACCGTGCGGCGGGGCCCGAGCGGCCGGCGGGCGGCGCAGACAATGGGAGCGGCGCTGGCGGCGGCGGCGGCGGCTCCCCGGGCGCGGCGGGGACGGGAGGCCGCGCCATGAGCCTCGCCGCCGGGCGCCCCCCTGTGCGGCGCGCGGGCCGAGGCGAGCGGCCTCTGCGAGTCCCGGGCCCCACCCCGGGGCCGGCGATGCGCTGCCAGGGCTGAGGATGATGGTAGATTGCCAGGTGAGTGCCACGCCCGGCCTGGCCGCCCTCCCCGGCGCGTCGCGGGTGGAGGGAGGACCGCGTGTCCCCCGCCACACCCCATCCGGCGGGGAGGGAGCGCGGCACTGCGTTCACGCTCCGCGCGCGCTTACGCAGTTCCGCGTTCAACCCCTCCTGGTACAATAGGGAAACTGAGGCCAGGAGAGAGGCAGGGACTGGCCCGGGGCTCACGCGGTGGGCAGGATCCACAGGCGCAGGGAGGGTTCCAGCCTCCTAGGCCAGCCTCAGTTCTCCCGTGGGGTTTCCTTTGGGAATGAGAACCCCTAAGGTCCTGGGGAACCCTGTTCACCCCTCCCCTGTGGGGCCCTTCCCCCGGGCGTCCCCACGTGGGCACAGGCACATGTACGCACAGTGACTTCCCAGGTGGGGCCATGGAGCGTGTTCAGAGGAGGGCGCAGGTGGCAGGGGAGAGCAGCTGGAGGCCGCCCCGCCATCAGGCAGGAGCCTCTGGCCTCCTAGCATCACGCCTGGGGCCCATACATGGGGAGGGGAGAGATGCAGGCTGATGGCCAGGGGTCCCAAAGGTGCCCAGGGCCTGCCTGGGCTGGGCCATGGAGAGGGCAGCAGGGAGAGGACTTGGAGCCCTTCGTCCTCCATTCAGGGCTCCTGGAACTAGGAGGAGACCCCCTCTCTACTATGGGGGGGCTACAGGAGAAAAGGCCTTAGTCTATTTCTCTATAAGTTGGGGTGCCCTAGAAGAGTCTGTTGCTCCTGGCTCTCCATCGGTGACCCCTGTGCTACGCGTCCGTGGAAAATGCTTTCTACTCCCGTGAGGTCCTCTGCGCAGCCTGGGGGTTGAGGGTCCTGGGGCCTGGGTAGCAGAACATGGCCGAGCACTGGACTGTTTCCTCTGGGGACCAAGGACCAGGCCATCCTTGCAGGAGCCATGGGGTCTTCATTTGGAAGTGGATCGGGAGTTACTGCCCTGGCTGGGGTGAGGCGGCCTCGTGAATGAACTAGACACCAGGACAGTGGGCGGAAAGAGGGGGGCGAGAGAGGGTCCTGGGGTCCCCGGCATTGCTCCTGGAGCTCGCAGGTCCTGTCCCTCAGCCCTCCGGTGACAGGAGAGCAGCTGCCTTGACTACGTCCAAACAAAGGTGTGTGTTTTGTTTTCTGGTTTCCTTGCCTGGGGCTGCAGGGCCGGGGATGACCACCAGGGGGCGGGCTGTGCCCACTGTGCTCAATGGAGCCGCCGGAGCAGGGAAGGGACACCCAGGGGTCATTCTGGGCATCCGGCGGCCTCGGACACAGCGTGCACCTTTTATTATTGGTCTCCATGTCCAGTGTGAGCTGCTCAGAGCGGGGAGGGGCTCTGAGGCCCTCTCATTATCCAGTTTCTGCGCCCCCAGCCCTCACCCCAGGAGCAGGAGCCCCATGGCCCCTGCCCTCCCGGAGCGCAAGCCTGGAAGGGCAGAGGGACAAAAGCACAAGAGCAAGTCCTTGTGGGAGAGAAGAGCAGTGCTGCGGGGACAGGAAGCAGGTGCGGAGGGAGGGCGGGACCCTAGGTGGGCCTAACGGCCTCCAGGGTGACATTGATGCTGTGACCCCAAGGACGAGAGGAGCCCGCCCTGCACAGGTCTGGGAACAGTGTGTGGCTGGGGGGTAGGGGAGCTCACGGTGCGGAGACTCTGAGAAACTGCCCTGTGGTCAGGGTTGGTTCGAGGAGGTGCAATGCTGAGGATGATTTGGGGGGGGCGGGGAGAGCAGAGGAGGGCTCAGTGGGGCTGCTTTAACAAAGTACCGCAAACGGGATGGCTCAAAACAGAAGTGCCCGGCTGGTGCGGCTCAGTGGTTGAGCGCCAACCTATGAACCAGGAGGTCACGGTTCGATTCCCGGTCAGGGCACAGGCCCGGGTTGCAGGCTCGATCCCCAGTGTGGGAGGTACAGGAGGCGGTCGATCGATGATTCTCTCTCATCACTGATGTTTCTATCTCTCTCTCCCTCTCCTTCCTCTCTGAAATTA